CTTAGAAAAATGAATTTTTATATGCCACAAATATGGAGTATGAAATTTTGAACCACCAACCTTAGAAATAAGATGTAAATGTCATTTTTGTTGGACTGTGTTCCTATCGACAAAACAAAATATTGTTAAATACTAGGTTTCAACGATAAAATTTCAAATGAAAATAGATGATTTACTAAAAATAAAATAAATCATTTCATTCGACATTTATTATTATTATTATTATTATTTGTTTGGAGTGAGAGATTAAAAAATCAATCTTAAAGATAATATAGGTACTTTTACCCACTTGAGTTCCACTTCAATATTAAATGAAAATTTAACAAAGTAAAAATAAGCATCAATTTATTGATTATTGTCAAAGCGAGCATAGCTCAGCGATAATTGACATATACCTTCAACCAAGAGGTTGTAAGTTCGGATCCCCTCCCCAACATGCTATACTAAAAAAAAAAAACTTATTGATTATTATAATAAATTTAATAACGACCTATAGGTATTATCAAACCCATCGAGTAAGAATAGAAACTAAAACATTAAATTAGAACACAAACAAACGAGGGAACACAAAAATAATCGACTGATTAAAAGAGCCACCGAAAAACAGTTTATATAATAATTAAATAAATAATTAATCGATATGAATGATAAACATGTAATGTATTGTTTCCATTTAAATTTTAATTAAATAATTATTTTTAATCATTCATTATCCGTAAGAATTGGTGATTCATTATTTGTAAGAATTGGTGACTCATTATTCATATATTTAAAAGCTAGAATTTCGGGTGGTCATGACTTCCATAGTCCCCATAATGGCATGCCCAAACTTACATGAATATGGAATTTTTTTATGTTTATAAATGTGTTTGATTTGATGGATAATATTAATTTTGCCTCAACAAAGTATAAAAAATCATTAAGCTTTAACCATCTTTGTCTTCTTGTAAACGTAAAGATATTATAAAGGTTACCAAACCTTTATTTAATCAATTAAGTCGCCATAATCTCAGCCAAACAAAAGATCGAATCTCCGTATTGTCAAACTATATATCTATATAAACGTCAACTAGATATTCTAAGAGATGATGTTTGCCTCAATTTTGATAAGTATAGAGCATAATACTAGAAATAGTCAATTATAATATTAAAAGTGAATATCATAAACTTAAGTTTATTTAACCCACATAATCAACACTTCTAGTCTAGGATTGACAAATCTACACACCCAACATAGATTTGATTTCTTAACCTTAGATTACACAAACCAAATCCGTAATTCAAGTATTTCCTAAACATTTCTCCTAAAGCACATATACAAAATGAATTTGATAACTTATCATGTAACTAATTAGAAACCCTTTAAAGTGAAGTGATCACGTTATTAAAAATGATTCTAAAACAATACCTGTAGAGAGGTGTTTAATTGGTGCGTTTTCCAAAACTTTTTTTTTTAATCACAGCGTTTTCCAAAACTACAGAAGTATTTCGCTGAGCTAGGTCAATCTAAACTCCTAATCAAAGAATAAGAGTATTATTAAAAATTTAAGAGTTTGGACAAAAGTGTAAACATTCAGACAATTCATGGGGGAGAAAAACATGAGAAATAGGCAAGGAAGTAGAACAAATTCTATGAATCTAAGCTATTCGAATAAATCTAGTCGATGATAATTTTTTCATATTTCTTTAAAAATTTAAAAAAAAATAAAGGAAAAAATAAAGATCCAGAAGGAATCTAGTCATGCGTGCGGTTCATTACTATTGCTACAACTGGACCAGCTTTTTCTGCTTTTACGTACGCAGATTTAAATGTTATAGTTGGATTTACACATAGTTCTCATTCCTCCCTCAGACTTTGTTTGCGTGTGAAAATTTCTACACGCGTCCACGTAGATATACTAAGGTAGCAACATAATAATATTAGATAGGTTAAATAATATGGTTAAAATATAAATTTGATCTTGGAAGTTCAAAATTTTTTAATTTAGACTTTATTTAATAACAATTCCATTTTTAGTTATGTTTTCAAAACTATGCATACTTTTTCACAATTTCATTTCTTTAATATGTTCTTCAAGCGTTTTTTAAGATTCTAGAAGTAGATAATAAAGTAGCAGAACACATTGAGGTAGTGTTTGTAAATATATTTTTTAAAAAAGAAAAATAAAATAAAACTTCAAATTCAATCCTGGTTAAAATTTTACATGAGTCATTTTCTTACTTGGCATAAAATTTTGAATGCTTAAATTTAATTTTGGCTAATATTGAGAGACCCAAATTATATTTTAACCAATTAAAAAATTATGAAAATATAATGGAACTATTTTTAAATTTATTTTTTAAATATGTTCTAAAGACCATTTTTAAACGTAAACAATAGGTCACTCATAATAATTTTTAAGAAATAATTGTTTAAACACAAATGTCTCAATTTTTAATTTCAAAAACTTTTTTTTCCATCAAAATAGTTCTAAAACAGACATAAAAATGTGAACCATACCGAGCTATAGAACTTTCAAGGCCGTTGTAAAAAATTTGAAGTCGGCCACGCAATTTTGCATTTCGTGCAAACTGTTGAAATTGAGGTTTCTATTAAAAAGTGAATAGGACCAATAAAAATAAAGTTTTAATTGGATCAATTATGCCGACGCATCCCTCTTATGACTGGTAAGTTTGAATTTTGTTTCTCATTCGTTTTGCCGTAATGGTAATATCATTACTATTTAAAAAAAAATTTGATAGTATCATTAATTAAAAACAATAAATAATTTCATTGAATTGTCACAACATAATTAATGAGTCCATACCCGGAAAAAATTAATGAAAATGGGGTCATTTCGAACACCAAAAGAGAAGGGGAAAAAAAGGTACAAGAACTCATATTTTATATTCATAACTTCGCTCATGCAAAAAAGCAACTTTTTTTTTTTTAGAAAAATAAATGTATTGAAAAATTACAATAGATCCAAACAAATTTTTAAAAGGCTTTTTTCTTTAAAAAAAACTGAAGTGTCAGATATAGTTTTTTTTGGTTCATTTACTAATATTAGTACAAAGATATCAATAAATATATATATATATATATATATATATATATATATATTTACAAATTAGATGATGGGATTCAACTCTTCCCAAAAAAGAAACATGGACTCTAAAACTACTTGAACTATATTCAAGTCGACTAAAGTTATCATCGATAGTCAAATTTTTGGATGTGAACACAAATATTTATGAAAAGTTGAAAGTAAACTTTCAATGCAAAATGAAGAGAAGGTATAATAAAGGCTTTGGGACCAAAACTTGCAGAAAAATAGACAAATAGGGAAGCTTTTCATTCATAGCCATGAGAGATAGGGTACATGGTACATGTGAACAAGTTAGGTATTTGCGATTTCCCAAGTGGCAATAATGCAAGAAGGAAGAAGGTGGGTGGCAAGGAGGAGATTGGAGGGGACCTTATTTGCTAATTCCATGGACCAATTCCAGGATGTTGAGGTGACTTAGTCAGGTGAACCTTCAACACTCTAATAAAAGTATAACCTATTTATTTCGTACCCAAAAGGAAGGAGGAAAACAAAAACTCTACTTCACTCCTAACCCCCAACTCTACATCTATGTATATAATATCATATCCAAAGTAGCACATTTTAAAAACAAAACAAAAAACGAGACACATTTAGTACACGCCAAGTATGAAAATAAATTGCACACGCTTGTGATACAGATCTTTATTATAACGATCTTTCAAATGGGCTCAATTATACTTTTCAAGGCTATATACAAAATATATTTTAATTTTTATAATTTTAAAATATTTCATAAATGTTATATGACTTCTATCTTAAAACTATTCATTCTGTTAACTCTACTAAAAAAATTTTGGAAAATATGAAGTTCAAGGACCAAACTTAAAATTCTAATTCGAGATAAAATTAAAAGATATACATATATGTCATGCTATATCTCTATTTTCATATGTTTAAATAGTGTTTGAGAGTGATTTTGAATCATCAAAATTAAAAGAAAAAAAATTCAAGTTTAGGACGCAATTAAAAGTTGATGTAAAGTTTATTTAGGATATAGCCCCTTTTTGGTTTTAGTGTGATCTAAGCAATGAAGAAAATTGAATCACAAAATTCAAAAACTTATCCAAATTTTATCAAATTGATAGAGTTGCTTGATCCATATCCAAAAAGACGAAAGAAAAAGAAAGAGAAAGGAAGGAGAGGCAAAATGGAGGAAGTAAATGGGTTGAAGATTGAGGGGTGGTCCTATTGGGAAAAGAGGTCCTTGTTATTCTATGGTCCCGAACCACAAAGAAGAGAAGGAAAGACCTATGATTTGGAAGCACTCGAGAGGCAGCTTATTGGAAGGAGCATTTGGGGCAGTGCCAAAATGGCATGTGAAGTTCTCATGGGTGGCCAAATACTATTTCTTTCTCTTGCCCCTAGTGAATCCAACTATGTGATCTTGATTTCTCTAGGTACTTGTCACTGTTCATTTATTAAGTGCATGAGTATATCCAGGTCACCTTCGCTCATTCTTCCTCGAGTTTTTTAACTTTTTTTTTTATTTCCATTTTTGTTGTCAATTAAATACTATAAATTTTGGAAAGAAAATCGAACACATTTAAATTGAGCTGTTATTACAGCCCAAGCAAAGCCTAATACGCTCTAGGATGGACCAGCTAGCTTATGATCTGTTCAATCATTTAGTTGAACAGGGAAGTATTTTGTTCGTTTTTTACTGATAAATTAATATCCCACGTTCTCATTAGATCTTTAAACTAGTCACTCTGTTTAGAAGTTTTCATTATCGTTGGTATTCGGGTTGATATTTGCAAAGACTAATGTAATTACTAGACTAATTAGCCATATTAAGATCTATTTTCAATTCTGATATTTTTTTTTCCTTTCAGAAGCTCTCTTGGCGGGCTTTTAACACCCACCAACTTAGAACTAGCACACTCGTTCTTGATTATTTATTTGAAGGTCAGATTTGATCGGTAACATGGTTGGCCATTTAAAATATTACTAAAATTTTCATATGCATTTTGGAATGATCTTTTCCAGGATAAGCACTATTTTCATCTAATCTTCCTAAATATTCCAATTCCAAGGTACAGAAGCCCAACGTCCAATGGACTTGGTTTTGGACTCTTTACATGGGCCAAGACATTAGTTCAAAGGCCCATACTCAGATGGGCTAGCCATGTGGCTCACATTTAAGGACCAAAATCGGCCTCCCGACCACGTGAACCAGGTTTTTTTTTGCCGATTCAATGATAATTCAAGTAATAAATCAAAGTGCAGTAGTACCTGGAAGTGGATAGGACAGAAGGAATCGCTCTGCATAGTTTGTGGAGTATCCATGTCTACTCCAGCGATGTCCTCGAAACCACCTTCCCAAAGCAATAATATACTAGCAATGCAATGTAATCCTGGCAAAGATTTCCTCCTACAATTGAAGGATAAAAGAGTAAAGAAACTACGTGCCTTGCCTACGTGGTTTATGATAAGTTACAATTTTTCTGCTGCCTATTAAGATATTGATCGAGCAGTTGATGATTTTCGTATCTAACATATGTGGGCTATCGCACGTTTTTACACCAGTGTCAGGTTACCTTTCCAATTAAATACTCTTATTTATAGATAGCCTATAAGAAGAAAAGTTGCTATTTTTCTTCCTCCAGATAGAAAGGCATACGAGACATTTAAAAGCATCTTTGGCTCCAAAATAAAAGATAACAGAACGTCAGATCATTTTCTATATACAAAATAATATATCTTCTATCGTATTCCCAAAAAAAATAAAATAAAATAAAAATATAGTCTATCTATATAAAAAATTGTTATTCACAACTGCCGGGTTGTTCTTCTAGTTTTGTTCAGCTTGCAACTCTAAAACATCCCCAAAATTTCATTCCCGATCCCCAAAGAATGGCAACCAAATGATAATTACGAAAAATTGAGACCTCAAAGAAAGGTGTCAAACGTATTGCGTAGTTTCAAAAATTTGAGACACCACTATCTAATTATGTTTTATTTGATGCGCTATAATTCCCCTCCAAAAGGAAAATAGACTCATTATACTCTGAAGCACAGAAGCAAAGATTAGTTAATCAAGAACGGACAATCGACGTTTGCATACCCATAATAACTGTTTCACTTGAAGAAAGCATCCAATCTCGCACTCGTACTTGCCCTTGTTTTCCCCCTTTTTTGGCTGCCGTAAACCTGTTAAATAAATTCAAAAGAAAGAGACATGGAACGAAACTCAATACCCCTGCTGCTACTAAATCAAAGTTCTTGCTTTGGACTGAAATACATTTTACATAAGGTAGCAACATAAAATGTAACGAGTCAATAGAGTGAACTGAGAATAGTTAAGTTAATGGTGATCCATTGGGAACTTCTAACATAAGAAAGATGCCAGGCGTGGATCTGTACGATGAGGAAGACCACTTCGAGCACCCAAAGCCCGACAACATCCAGCAGCCTGCAATGTAACACATAATGGAGCAAATTCGGTGGCACTTTCCAAAAGAAATAAACACGCCGTTTATGTTAAGACTTCCCAAAAGAGCACCTAGGCAACTTACCACCTGGGAGGAAAATGGCAACAACTTCTCCGGTGGCATGTTGGCACATAATGCTGCAATTGAAAGCAAAAACATAAATCCCTACAATAGGTCCCGAAATAAACAAAGAAATAAAGAAATAAACTGCATAAATTTTTTGGGGTGGATGTTGTTTAAGCTGAAATTGGAGAACAAGTAAAAACGTATATAAACAATTCTTGAATGGGTGAAAGAAGAAAACTACACCGTGAGGTTCATTCTGACATAGTTTTCAAACTTTCTGCTCTAGAAGTTGGACAAATTACAATTCCATGCAGCACTTCTAAAGGAAAACAACAATCGCTAAAAAGTACAAGGTCACAAAGTTATTAGATCAAATTTACGAACCATAAAGAACCGCTCCAATAAATGCATCTCCAGCACCGGTAGTATCAACAATTTCAGATTCTGGTATTTTTTCAGCTGTCCCGAGCAACAGCCTTCCACAGACTGTCCCTATCCCCTCAGCTCTCAACTTGGCCGCTGGCTGAAAGAAACGAGAGGACGCAATATAACTGGACTGAATCTCATTCATATCCTCATATGTAAAACAATGTAATCGGACTCATTGGAGCCATGCTGGACGACCAAAATGTTCCAGATCATGGGATATACCCTTATAACTCTACCACAGATATTACTGAACTCATTAGATTAGCACAATGCTCACAAAGTCCAAATGCATCGTGGTCCTCTGACGATTCCTATGCTCAACTCAAACTTCATTCTACGTATGTCTTTTAAAAATGCATGGCAAAATTGAACGCCGATATTTATACCTTCACTTCCATCCTAGGAGGTAAACAGAAAAAATATAACATAGAAGGCAGATAACATACTAAAACTCCTTACATCCCTCAGATAATTTGTATAAAATTAGTCATCCTTTTGTATATAGGGGGGAAAAAAAGAAGAAAGAAATTGGTCACGTCTGTAAACTATTTTTCTTTCTTGAATTATTACAAACAGATTTTTAGTCTTCAATACCACTTAACAAAAACAGTAGCCTTGCAGTATTTGATCCACATACTACACCCAAAACTGGCGGACAGAGCTTCAAATTACCTCTCTCCTGTATGTCTAGGTACAAACTTGCACCCTGCAAACAATGGCAAGCACTTACCTTTTCCTTTCTCTATATCACTATTTCTTAATGACCTTGACAGATATTAATCTACAAGGATCATGATCAGCTACAAATTTTTACTGGTACACAGCAGAGAAGGCAGCCAATGATTTTGTCAAATGTCAAGGACTATAGTCTATAGCAGGGTTGAACATATGCCCAAGTAACAAAAAGAAATTACCGATGAAACGTAAGTTGGAACGTTTATATTCTCATCCTTTCTGCCCTTGATCACTCCAAGTAAGCTGTCTATTTCAAACTCTTCCATCTGATCAGGTATCTCTGCCAGAAACAGAGAAAATACCTGTAAATTTTAAATATAAATTAAATTCACAAAGTTTTGTACATAAACGATAGCAACCCTTAAGGGTGAACAGCCTACGATGCCAATTGTATAGTAGAAAGCTAATCATCAAAACTCACCATTAGTGCATCTTTCCAGCATTATGCATCCATTTTCACCCAAGGTGACAATCACAAATCTGAGTTTTGGAAGTCGGAGAAGCATGGAAACAAGTGCAGATGGAATTGATGGTGCCTCTGTCCATTCCTGTCCCGTAAAATAATATTTTTATAATTTAGTAACAGCAGGTGACATAAGGAGCACATATACATAAGATGTAACCCAATGAACAACTTAAGATATAAAAGTTGAATAGTTGATAAATGTAATCAGTTATATTGTTAAGGTTCTGTTGTAATCTGTTGTAAGTAATATTATTGGGCTTGGGCTTTCAGTTGTATGGTTGAGCCTTCTCTATGTGTATTTATGTATTACGCCCTTGAAGGGTTAAGATGAGACGCATTAAATACAAGATCATTTTTCCATTATTTCTATCTCTCTCTTTCTGCTGAAGTACTATTTGATCAGTGACAACCCAAATTTCTATTTTATATTTTTATATTAAAATATAAAAATAAACAAATTGTTATGAATCGATACCTTCGCAAAAACAATAGAAAGTCTTAATACACATTAAAACACAATACATAGTATAATAATTATATAAATTGGTAGATGAAAAAATCAATGTCATCTTGCTAAATGGCATCATAAAATCTCTCTCCAACAAACACACAAGTTACATGTTGCATAAGCAGCAAGTTAATCAATAAAGACCAGGGGATAAAAAATACAAACTTAAGATCAAATTGAAAATTTGAAAAGGTATTCAGAGTAACAAGTACAGTTGGAGTTCAATTTCCAAAAAGGTAAATTTTGACAAACTGAACGAAGAAAGAACACTTGCCTGTGGAAATCTTGCTGAGCAGACAACATAATTGGCAAGTGCCAGTAGATCATCCAGACCTTCCCTTTTCCTTTCTGCATCAATCAAGATAGGTATATTCTGCCGAGCTGCCTGTACTGTAAAAGTAAAAATTAATATCCCTTACAACATGGATTAAGAGAAGAAGTTTGTTAAGGAGAAACATCCAGTTCATAGATATTTGTGAGTTTCTTTTGAATTTTCAATCTGGGACGGGAACACAGAAATGTGGCTCTAAAAAGAACTACTTGAAAGAGTAGCCACACACAAGATGCAGCATGTGAAGCATCAAAGCAACTAATAATATTTTACCTCTTGTGCAACAATCAAAGCAGTTTCATGCAATCTAACGTCAAAATAAACAAGTCTGGCACCATTTAAAGCAGACAACAAGTTTGATCGTGAAAGGTCATCTGGCACCATGGGAGGAGATCCTGGAGTGTGGATGCATGTACGGGTGTGCCTAAAAGAGTTCACCGCAGTAAATGAATTGTGAGATGATTATGTACATGCCTAAAATGATGTTAAAAATCATCTCTAAAATATTTATTTAATTTATACTTTTAATAATTATCAAGTTTAGCATTCTGATTTACATTTTAATATCTTTTGTCATACTTAATATTTAAAGAGGCATGCATCCAATCGCTTCAAGAGAAAATGTCTCAAGGTCACCTTTAGCCTTCTAAAACATGGGATATAAAAGAGACTAGAAGCTAAAAGGAACAAAAAATGTCATAGGAATTTCTCTGCATTTTACCACTCGGAAAATGGACAAAATAGAGGATCATAGAAATGCAGATGCTTACGTTTTATTATCCACAATAACATAGGTAAATGGTGAATTACCCCCTTCAGAAACCTGAGAAAACACAAAAAAAATCACAAATGTGGTAACTCATAGGTAATAACTAAAGAACTCATCGTGGAAAGAAAGAAGATATTCATTCAGATAGCAAATAGTAGGAAAAGATTAAATATTTGTTACAACACATTTATATTTAACAGCAAATTTACATTTTATTGAAACCAAGAATTATGTTCAAATGATAATTAAATATTTCACAAACTGTAGATGCCAACTTTATAAGATAGAACACTGTTAATAAAACTACATACTGAAGAGAACTCTGCACCTTAGAAGATTCTTGATGTCATTCAAAATGTCAAATTTCAACAGATTGGCATGGAACATGGAAGCTACCTCACAGAATTCAGTGGCAGAAAGTAATTAAGTTCAATAATAAGAAATAACTAATTTACACTTCAACCGTTTGATGCACTTGGTGCAGGTTTCATCAAACAAAATTTAAGTTTATGTCCTTTACTGTCTGCTGTCATCCTTAGACCCTCAAAGTCCCATTACACTCTTGCTTCACTACTCCGTACCACCATATATTGGAATTAGAATTCAAGACCACAGAATGTGCTTTGCCTGTTTCTTGGTAACACACAAGCACCTCGTTCAAAAGAAAACAAATGATAACACACAAGCACCAAATCATGCACTAAGAAAGCCCTTTTATTCTAAAAGATACACGAGCATTGGTGTTATAGCCTGCATATGAAATGCATCACCATTGCACTTGCATTGAGAAAATAATAATAATAATAATAAACATATCTTTTCCTGCTCCCCCGTGTACACTTACACTTGGTTTCAAAATACAGTTAAACGAGGGCAATATTATCAATACAATGCAAATGGTTGGGGCAAAACGCTGAAGTCAATTATGATATGTAAGTTACAAATATTCTAAATTGTGCATTATGAAGAGTGCTTACTACAAGAAAAGATGTATCTATCCCATCAGCTTCTAGCTCTTCGACTATACTCCTTCCTTGACTATCATTTGCGACCTAAAATTTTATCAGGCATGAATGTAACAAACCTTAGTAAAAAGAGATAAAGACCAGCAACTAATTAATATACATCAGTTCCACTAATACCCGGAAATTGGGCTTGTTAAAGGAAACATTCTAAGGATAAAGAGCAACCTTGGAAATTATCCTTGGTGTTAAACCCAACCGAGCTGCAGAAGTTAAAGCATTCCCCACATTCCCCCCACCTTGTACCTAAGAAGAAGTATCAGCCACGTCAAGCTACAGGTTCTCCAAATGGTTACAGTATATAGAAATTATAATCTTTTCCTTGTAAGAAAATATTTTATTTATTATAAAAGAGGATGCACGTCAAGTAAACTAAATTTAATACAAAGAACAATATCTAGAATTCAATATGGTTGAATCCAAGACAACTCGTGAAATTATATGCTAAGTTCTACTCCAAACATATTCACTTCCTAAGGGAATGTTATTCCAGATAGTATATATTTATGTTCACACCGTCCATTATATTAACACTGTATTAGTCGCGGGGAGTATATGAATTAACAAAAGGTCTTTTGAGTAGTTTTGATCAATATATATAAAATACGCAACTTTAAAAGTTCAACGAGAATAATACCCCCAGACTAAAAAGCACGATGAAGACATGGCATCCATCAAAACTTGAGGAATTTAACAGCATAAAAAATGTCAAGAATCTGAACCAACACTTTCCAATTTTCAACAACGTCCAAAACTTAACATGACAAATTAGACAAAAAAAATATCTTATTCATATAAATCCTCATCCGAGTCACTTCAGTCAGCGCTGAATCTTCATCACAGGATATAGAGCCAAGCTCGAGCAAGTCAACATATCATACACAACACAAATTTTAACAATGCCTGATACATAGCAAGCAAAACACAAAAACTCACGTCTCTGTCGCATCGCTAACGGAAGAGAGCATACCTTTAAACTTGTGGTTCTAATTTTGTCATCAGGATTTGGATAAGAAGCCACTGCCGCCAAGAAATCAACAGACGTACCACCAACACCAAGCTGCAAAAACACACCCGACCTTTCAATCACATTCAAGGAATCCATAAGAATACATACTCTCACGGACAATGAAAATAAGAGCACAAAATAAATTATGTCAGTAATCAGAGCCTAATCAGAGCCAGACCGAACAAGCATTGTTAGAAGAGAGGGAGGGAAGGTAACTCACGACGACGCGATTATCAGGAAGAGGAATCGCAACTGAGGACGAGGTCGACGATGACATTCTTGGCCTGAAATCAGATAATGCACAAAGAAACCGCTGAAATGTAAACAATTAGTTTCGTTTTGATCGGAAAAAGCTGAGAGAAGTAATCGGTTTGCAGGAGAGAGAAGGCAGACCTCGATAATTTTGAGGAGAGGAGAGAGAAGCTCCGGGGAAAATGGACAGGCGTAAAGCTTGAAACGAAAGACTGCAATGACATCTTGCTGATGGCGTAGGAGAAGACTCTTCACTGTTATTTTTTTAATGGAAGATTTTGATTTCCTCTTCGGTTTTCGCCACCCGTCTCTTCCGTTTTGCTTTTTTCTCGAATAAATTTAAATGAATGATATTATCTTATATAAATAAATTCAAACCAGAGGGCAAAAATATTATCTTTTTTTTTTTTTTGGAGACGGGTAAAAATATTATCTTAATAATGATAATGGAAAATAAAATCAGTATTTCTAGTAGTTAAAATTTCTTCTTCTTTTTTTCTTTTCTTTACTTCGATAAAATCACAAAACAGCAGAAAAGAGAATCTCCAACTAACCATAAATAAAAATGGTTAAGACTGGTCCACAATACGAACTGCAAAAACTGAAAAAATATTAATTTGATACAGTATATTAAAATATTTTATTTCAGAAATATTAAACAAAAATCAATAAAAGTACAAATTCATAAAATCCAAACATATATTATTTTCTACTTAAAAAAAAAGTGAGTTTATTAACATAATTTCCTCTCTGTGCAACTCACAATTTATGATAATTTTAAGGACATAGTAAATTTTAAAAAGTCTTGAGATGCTGCGGTGGCAAGAACAATAGGAAAAAACTTTTTCTCCCTATTTTATCGTTTTATTTTAAACATTATTTTGGAGGGTAATTTTATTTTTCAAATATAAATTTATCTCTCTCACCATCTCTCTCCCATGCCACTTCCCCTTCAATTTTTCTCTTCTTCTTAAATTTGGATCGATTTATAGATTCGACATCGACATAGGGATAAATTAATATTTCTTCTTTTGTCAAGTTTTAGGACAATTTCCCTCTTTTTATTTTTATTTTTTCAAGAGTCAATTTCCTTCCTTCAACTTGTGAAACCCTCCTCACAATACTTTGTATCACAAAAACTTAGAAGAATTATTAGAAAATATCATAAGTAAACAAATAATATTAATAACAAGCATTTAAAACTTTTTTACTAAAAATAATGGTAAAATGCTGAATTTGTTAGTTTAAATATGTTTTTTTTTTCAACTTTTACAGGTTTTAAGAGTCTATTTTTAAGTTGGATGGATCATTAAGTTTATAGACAAAAATGTTTGAACTATAATATCAGATATCTTTGGAGTTAACTATACAGTCACTCCCAACAAATACAATATCAGTTTTAGTTGAACTTCAAATGTTTTAAAAGGCTAAAGGCGGCCTCAAGACTTTTCCTCTTAAATAGGCGAGGCGGTATGAGGCGTAAGCCTCAATTTTAGTTAAAATAATTATACAAATTTTAAATTTTGTATGATCAAAGTATTGCTAAACATAATAGTTATATACCAGTATAAAAAAAATCACGAGTTAATTGCCACTTAAATAAACATCCTAAAAGAAGATCCTCAATATCACTAATAATACTACTACTATTATCACTAATAGGATTGACTTATTCTATAAAAATTTGTCTCCAATGTTTTTAAAGTCTAAGTAATAAAAGTAGTGATAGATTGAATCGTCACCACACCTACATTGCAGTGCGCCTTCAAAGAGGCATAAGTCTCTTATGGTTCAAAGAAGGCGTAAGTCTCGAGGCTAAAAGCTAAAGCATTGCCTCGAGCCTCGAGGCGTAAGCTTTAAAAGCTTTTTAAAACATAGAATTTCTTTTTCATAAGTTACCAATGTGAATTTCACACATGTACAAACATTATTCTATTGAATCTAACTGTACAAATCATCAATATTTAGGTAAGTTCATTCTTAACCTCAACTACAGATTATTTTATGCTTGTTTTACTCTTTATAATTTTTCTTCATGTCAACTATAAAAAATAATTTAAAATTAAAAAAATATGCCACATATACACATAAAATTACCACATCACATTTATATTTAAAAACCCTTGCCGCAATTTAACTCCAACCTAAATCTTAGGAACTAAAATATATTTTACCAAATTTTATCATTCTTGACTTTTATATAAAAAACAATGAGAACGTTACTAAATGGACCCGTAATTTCTACCTTACATATCTAAAACATAAAAGAGGACGTGCATGGTGAGATCTGTCAATTGATACAAGCACAGAGGCTCATCGATGCAAAAATTGTCAGAAAATATGATAGAAGAGAGTATTCAGAATACATTTCTAACTCGTATGGTAATGAATCAATAATTCCAAAACCCAATACTTTTACCTCTCTTTCTTCCCTTCTCTCTTGAAAAACCACTTTTAACTTCCAAGCCTGACAGCGCTTATGAATCAGAGAGTTAACTGTACATTTTAAAGAGTCGCAGAAGGATCAGCCACCAATGTCCCCTTGAGAGCTCCACACAGCACAAAATGATCAAGAATGGAGCTGTCGAGGGGGCCACCAATGGCGCTCATCCGCTGCCATTGCTCTCCCAAGCATTCTTGTTTTTTCGAAGATTTAAAGAAAGAAACTCAAACCCAAAACCCGTTGTTCCAAGAAGGCCTTGAAAGAAGTCCCCCATGCTCGCTCCTGCTTCCCGAAAATCTATAGAAGGCAGGCTTGCTTCGGGCGGTTCGCAAGGGACCGGACCTGTTTCCATGCCGAATAGGCAATGATATTTCATCCCCAACCAAACTTGAAGTTGAAAACGGTCTGTTTTCCATCTCTTCAAGAGGGCCAGAGCTGTATTCCATGGTGATGAAGGAAGAGGCTTGCCCGAATGTCAACCGAGGAGTAAAGCCACCCGCGTTCCACCAACTGCTATCTGATGGCACAAGATCGCCTTTGAAATCCGAGTCTCGAGCAGAGGACTCCTTTAGACTGCAGCAGTCTGCACATGTCTCGTCTGTGTCGTTGTATATTAGCTTTAGAGCTTGCACGACTTCTCCCATAAATGGCCTCTGGGTCACCTCCGGATGAACACACATAGAAGCAATGGCAGCCACCTTGGCCATGTCATCAAAGTCATAACTACCTGCTATAGAAGGATCTACTAGTTGCTCCAAACCTTCTTTACTGGTCAGCAGAGGCCGAGCCCAAGTAACGAGGTTCTCCTCGCCATGTGGTTGGGACATGTCGACCGGTTTTCTTCCCGAAAGAAGCTCAAGTAGCACAACTCCATAACTATAAACATCACTTTTGACGAGCAGGTGCCCAGTCATTGCATACTCAGGTGCAACGTACCTAAAAATTTATCAACTCAGTCAAGAACGAGTAGGTGATAACTGATATGGCACCTATAAAAAGACATTCACTTCATGGGGAAGAGACAGGCTCGAGTTAACCAACACGGTTCCAGAAAAAAGCTTATTCTGCCAATGATTATAGAAAAATTGAGGTCAAAGGCTGCTTAACATATATAGGGTTCTGAAACCAGTTGTCTTAACTCTCATAGTCATGATCCATTGACAACATACAACCAGTTGCAATCGACAATTAAGGATTTGTAAACAGATTGATCCAATCCAATACATAATTAAAACACAGCATAAGGATTACCCGAAAGTTCCCATGACCCGTGTCGATATATGTTCACTTCCTTCAGTTGCTTCCCTAGCCAATCCAAAATCCGAAACCTTGGGGGTGAAGTCAACTTCCAATAGAACATTACTTGCCTTGAAATCGCGGTGGATGACACGAGGATTAGAATCTTCATGAAGATATGCCAAACCTCTTGCTGCTCCAAGAGCAATTTTTAACCGTGCGTCCCAGTCGAGAGGTCCTTTTCTCTTGTCAATGCCTACACAACGCAGGTGAAGAGTCCTTTGTAAGTAAAACCAAGAGTAATTAGATTGGCACGAACGAATACAGAACTACAAAATGAGCGATTAAGAACAAGGTGATAGAAACTTTTTAAACTAATAAAATGGTACGTACCAACATATATGATACATCTAACAAGAGAAACCTAAAGAGCTTCTGTTTCTTGATGCGGGTGGGAAGAGCTTTCGATTCGGTTTTCCACTAAAACCAAATATTATGTATCTGATGCTAAGAGTGGTTAATTCAAACTATTTCACTAAAAGGATGTAGAAATTCTTGTTTCTATTACCAAAAGAGAGCTAGAGTTCTTTGGCCCCATGCCTACAAGATTTGTTGGTAGTCCCTTTAGAAGGAAAGAAACAATGAATTTTCAAAGATACGTTGAATTCTTTTTATTACTTTTGGGACCTTGCCCTTTACGACCTCAAATTGGAGTGTCTTACACAAATCTCTTTGTTTCTACTTTTTCTATCAACCTAGATTGGAGGCCTTTATGTTTGATCCCCTCCCTCCTGCCATGAGGAAACCTTGTCGCCTTTAGGTTATTTGGGTGTTGATTGGTTAAAGAAATTTCTACAGTTTCCTATTAAAAGAGCATCTTTCTTCTTCATCCTTATGGCTTTTCGAGAAATCCTTCATCTCTCAATATTTTCGATACAGAATGATCAATTAATAAAAAAGGCCAACAAATTTGAGAGGTCCTTAGGCCTGAAAATCAGATAAGGAGTCTCTAGTTTTATGGTTTCTACGAGATCAAATGTCACGAAATTGAATGATCAACGAAGAAGGATAATGGGACATTTTTATTCAAGAATTGAATGAATGAGAAAATTTTGCCAGCAATTCATCAAACAAATCATGTATAGAAAAAGGATAATCTAAAAACAGTACATAACGACAAATCAAATGCAATATGGAAGATATACCATGCAAGTGGGACTCAACACTGCCATTATGGACAAGCTCGTATACTAAGCAGCGAGTTCGACCTTCAATGCATATCCCAATCAGTTTCACAAGGTTGCGATGATGCAGTCTACTCAACATCTCAACTTCTGCAATAAATTCCCGGTCCCTATTCTGATTATCCCTTGTAAGCAACTTAACTGCAACTTCATTTCCATCTTCCAAAATTCCACAGAAAACTCGGCCGAATCCCCCTTCGCCTAAGACCCTTTTTGAACTAAACTTTTCTGTTGCTTTCTCAAGTTCTGAAAGTGCAAACGTTTTAACAGATTGAATACTGGTTGGCATTGTGGAAATTATGGAAACAGAGGTGGAGCTTGCAATGCTACTTGATAAAGTTGATCCTATTCCTGCAACAAATCAATATGTAATCATCTCAAGCAGTATTACAAGTAAGTTCAACAGGACTTTCTAGATAGCTCAGGGAATAGACAGCTTGAACTCAAACAATACTTGTGGAAAGATCCTATTGAGAGCTAACATATCGGGATCTACAAACTCACCAGATCTTTTGTTAATAGATGATGTGAAGACAGGGCCAACAGCACTAGACGGTCTTCCGACCTTTCTCCATTTTACCAAGATGGAAAGAGCTCCAATGAACACTAATAACACAACAAATGCTGAAAGTGCTATGATTGCAATCGTTTTGACATTCATCCTCTGGCTTTTATTAACGAAATTTGCAGTGATGGGAAGATCTCCAGCACTTCCACTAGGAGCACTTCCCATGTATCCTCCATATGGGGGTGAAGAAGGAATCCCTGATCATGGCTCATTGAATCTTAATATTTATTGAGAGGGGGCAGATAACAAAAGCTAAGAAAAAATGATAGTTAAAGTTATTACCTGGATAGCTGATGTAGACAACTTCATAATCACCAAAAAGTGTCATGTTTAGATGCACCTTTTTATCCCAAAACCTTCTGTAAGTCAATACTGCAGTGGTATTATCAAACTTCTCTCCCAAAGGTACTAAGTTTATGTCCACCATAGTTCTTCCTTGATTTTGACTATCTGCACTTGCACCCATGATTTTCACTTGGCTCTGCTCCAAATAAGTACCCTCTGCAATCTCAATTTCGAGATCGTTCATCACAGGAAAAACAGCATATGGAGCTATATCCAGAAGAAGTCTGACTTTCATGGGAAACACACAGCCACAAGGTGAACCAAAGGGAGCCGCAGTAAGGGGTTCCATGCATATTTGATCACAACCTGCCAAGTCCATGGCCAAAAAAATTTAGTAAAAGGAATTTCATAAAAGAAGATTTACAACTAGAAAGCTAATCATCGGTCTAAACAGTGAAAGATGAAAATTTGCAAGGCTGTCTTCATATGGAAAGCACAATTGTTAATGGATCACCATCACTTACAAAATATAAGGAACCAATAATAATTTCAAATATTACAAAGCTATTCAAAGGAAACATGAGACTGAGCTAAAACAACTTAGCTTCAATTCACAACGACTGAAATCCAGCTCTGAAGTATCTCATATTCAAGCAGATGGTTAACAGACAGGAATAGCTCCATAAAACTATTTTTTTTTAGCAGGAAAGGGGTGGACGGAGCCATTTATCAAGCAAAATAAGAGCCATTTATCAAACAAAAAATGTGGAGTAGGAGCGTATAAACAAAGAGCCATCACTTGGCCATCATATGTTGTGAGGTTATACTGGTTTCCTGTTATGATGAATAATTGACCGGTTGAATAATTCAATCCCAGACTCTACCTTGGTCTTTTGATGGGGTAGGTGCAACCACATGAGGTCGTATACGATGCCGTCGACGGTGTCGAATTGGTAAAGGTGCATTCCTAGGACCTACTGCAAAAAGGTAATGTCAGTAAGTAATAGCAACACAAGGAAAATGGAAAATTTAATATATTGCCTTCATAACCTGGAGATGGTGCAGGAGCAGTGGATGGTCCCAAAGAAGACCTATATATCCAGTTACCAGGTAATTTTGAAGATGCAAATGAAAAACCCGTTAACTCTGACCTTCCTGCAATAAAGGAGCCATACGCATGCCATAAAAAAGGGGATGACCATAAATAGTTGAACAATGAAAAGGAGATGAAAAGGAGATGACCATCATCGAAACTTCACTATTTCACTTTAGTTTCTTTTCAAAAAATAATAATAAATCAGTTTGAATTTTAGAACAATCCCAACCAAGCAGAAATTAAACATTAAAAAAAAACCACCAAATTATAAGGTAAGCATGCCTGCTGCCTACTTGATTTCCGCATGCCCAGGCCACAGCTCAAATTGTTTTCTACTCAATTCAAAATTAATTAACCATAAATCCGAATACAATCCAAACTCCAAAGGCAATGTTAATGCTACCAAGTACCAACTACATTGATTAAGCTAGTTTGACATGTTCCCTCTTCAAATTGTTTCTAACAGTTCCTTTGATTAAATATGCAGGTTGTGCATTATCAATGTCTGTACTCTGTAGGATCCATGACTTTACATTTGAATACATTGTGGGCACTTATCGTGTGTTCATGTAGAAGTTGGAATATAAAAATATATTAATCAAACACGACACCTTGTTACCAAATGGACATCACTATACCATTTTCTGTTGAGCTTTCTGTCATTGTCGTTTGCAGATTTGGCTGTATGGAAGGAGATAAGTATATGTGTGGTGAAGATTGTCCTGAAACCAGAGACATGAGAGACATGAGGTAACTTCCGCGTTTTAATACAGGGTTAGACAATTCAAACTACATTACTACGGCTTAACGATAAGAGACATAAATGTTGTATCTAGAAAAATGAATCATAAATCAAAAACAAATTAACTGCCACGAAGAAGATACAGCTAAAAACAAACACTATGGTGCAGATTAATTGGTTGTCGCTGAGAGTTGGCAAAAGCACTTCCTCCTCCAGGGTCTAATTGTTTGCTCAAGATTAATAATCCTACGAACGACACTCTTGCGACATTTCGAAAGGAAAACCGAACCACAAAGAGACAATAATTTTTTTAAAAAGAAAATGCCAAAAGCAGCAAAGAAAGCAACAGAACGTACGCGCTTTGTTCGACGAAATCAAGTCGAAAAGGTAAATGCAAAGTACCTGAGCAAAAGGAAAGCAAATTGACCACATGAAGAAGAACCAGAAGAAGATGCAGAATATTCGAGAAAGGCATTTTGTGTCCACGCAGCAAATTTCAGAGGAAACGACCATCATCAATAGCCATCACCGCCTACGAGCTCAACCGCCTCAACATAAAGCTGCCAAAGAAAACATTCACAAGGGTTGCGGTGAAGTAATCGCCGGCAGCAACCTTGTCCGACGCAATGCGAGCTCCAAATCCCGCACCACATGGCTCACTGATGCACTAACTTCAGCTCAAATACACAGGCAAAATGGGAGCAGTAAAAACCCTAGGAGAGAGAAAACGAAATGGAACAAACAGTAGGAAGCAATGCAGGTGTGTGGGCTAGCAGATCCATGAAATGCGGTCGAGGATCTAGAAGAACGAATATAAAAACTTCACTTTACAAGGAGAGAAAAAAAAAGAAAGATTGCAGAACTTTTAGGGATAGAAAATGGAGGAAAAAAGAGAACGAGATCTTGAAAGTGCAGAGAGATAGAGAGAGAGAGAGAGAGATGGAACCAGAGGAGAGAGAGAGAGGGGTGGGCGAGGAGCTAGGTGAGGAACTTTATTACATGGCAACAACACTCTACTGTTACTGTTACTACTGCTACTAAGCCAAAGGCAAAGCCACTGCTTTTTGGCGAAAAAAGGCCATCGATGGATGTGTCTGGTCCACGCGCTCCGGACATTCCGTGTTCCGAAATTTTGTGATGAAACGACAATTTACAGACTCGTTTGATTACGTCATAAATATACTTTTTTTCCTTTTTTTTTGTTTTTGAAAAATGCACATGTGAGGCTATGACATAATACAAAGTTACATTACAAACTCCTTTTCTTCTCTCTTAAATGTTGCATTATAAATAAAATAGATATTATCTGAACCTACGACTACAAGTCTACAAGTCTACAGCTGACTCCTTTGGAAAAAGCACTCATATAGTCGTATGAATCGTTAAAAATATACTTAAATTGTCTTTGATCTTATTTTTACTAAATTAATGATAGATTTTCCTCTTAAAAAAAGGAAAAAACCTAAAGTAATGATAGGTCCTAAGGGTCAGTCGTTGAATATATAATTTGTTGATGTCATGCTAATGAAGGAAGGTCGGCTACATTATCATCTGCATGAACGAGCTATATAAGGAAATATATGCAAATTAGGAATAAATAATTAAAAGCCCAAATCAGTCTAAATTCGAGTTGATTAGGTCGATAAATTACATATCTAATTGGATAGAGTAATGATGTATTTATAGGAGTTAAAGGGAGAATATTTATATTGTGCAATTATAACAACGATCATAAAAATTGTTATTTTGTTGCTAAGGTTGTTAAGCTACTCCCAATTGTTCGTGGAAGTTGTCAGATTGCTTTATTATTTTGTTGCTAAGGTTGTTAAGCTACTCCCAATTGTTCGTGGAAGTTGTCAGATTCCTTAACTCGAGCAAGACGAGCTATGGATCCTTTACCTTCCTTTGAGGCTTGGTAGGTAGCGAACTCTGCAAGTCAGCATCAAACCTTTTTGGGGCAATCTTCGATTTGGCCAATCTATTTGGTACCACTCTAATCGAGCTTGATAGGTCGGCCACTATGATAAACTACTTATCTGTATTTATGGATGAATTTAATGGCTCGATCGTCCGATCACTCAAGATGATTTATTCTTATCTCGCCACATATTTTTACTCCCAACATAATTTATTTTATATCATCGTGCACGATATGATAGTCCGAAAATTTATGGTTCAATCATCATTCATTTTTAAACCAAATAAAGAAAAAAAATGTATATGATATTACCCGAACTTATATATTTAAACCAAATATTTCAGGATTATGACTCTTATTGAACGGTTAACTCTAAAATATTCATAATTAAAAATAAAATATAATTTTAGAAAAATAAAATAAAATACAGTTGCAACTAATAATATGTGATTGGTTAAAGTATATATCTTGAACTAAAATATCGTTTAGTTTACAACATGATATAGGTGGGAGATCGAACTGACAACCTCATAGTTGTAGACATATGCCAATTATCGCTCAGCTATGCTTTGGCTTATCTACGACAATTGTTACAATATCACTCCTTATCATAAAAATTAAAATTTTAAACTTTCATAAATTTAAAAAATTACTAAAACTTTCAATGGTGAAAATTAAATCTTTGAACTTTCCGGTAAATAAATCTGGACTCTCTAAAATTTAGATTGGATATATTTGGTGGATTATTCCAGCCGCTCTGATGAAATGAACGAAATTAGAAGCTGTCCACGTAGATCAAATCCCCATCGTTGCGGAGGATTGATAGCGTGGGTGCAAATTTTTAAAATTTTATTTTTTGAGGCCGATTCTGGATTCTGGATTCGATATCATTCTCTTATCCTCTTCCTCTGATCCACGATTTGCCGCAGATCTTTGTCGGAGCTTGGAGATGCCAGTGAACTTCCCACCGGAGAAGCCATGGAAACCGGCAGGGGGAGGGATTCGAATTCGATATGAGGTTTGCTCGAAATGGCACGAATGGAAGAACCCAGATGATGATTTCAGCGATTAATCGAAAGATCGGGAGACGAGAAATTGGGATTTGAGGGCGGGGCTAGTTCATGAGAAAATCTAGAACCAGTATTGGAAGCCGACGAAGAAGGATTGAACGAGATGGGCACGGCAGAGGAGAGCGAATTTATGATGAAACCAGGGAGAAGAACTTCACCGACTAGTGTAGATATAATCCCAAGAATCGACCAACCAGAATTGAGCATTAAAACACCTAAAATTTTATCGGGAAAATCTGGGAAAGGCAGTGAAAAACATATACATCCAATTCTTAGAATTTTAAGTTTTAATTTGTGGCAATTGAAAATCTAGAGGTTGTTTTATTTCTGAAACAAAAAAAAAAAAACATTGAAAAAGATCATTAAATTTTACATAAGGAGAGTTGTGACCAGCGTTATCATCCCAATTCTGAAAAACAATTATCTTAAAAACAGATAAATAATCGAAAATATTATCCTAAAAGACAAATAAATAATCGAGAATGACACACTTACAAGTTAAAAAAATACTTGTAAAAAAAAATATATATTCGAACACGATGATAAATACGATGTCCCTAAGATATTATCATTTAACCCAAAAATATATATATATCGAACACGATGATAAGTAAGATGTCCATAAGATATTATCATTTAACCCAAAAAAATAAATAAATAGATAAGAAAGAAAAAGCTCAACCATACCTATATATTTATTTATTTACAAACCACACTCAACTAAACGAATTAATAACCAAACACAACTTAGATCTGCTTTGTCAAGACATTAGAAACCTTTTCAACAGGCTAAGAGTTGAAATCTCCAACCCCATCTCAACTTAAAAAAACAAAAAACTAACTTCAGAAACAAAAATCTAAAACCAAAGAACAATTAATAATTCCTGCCACACACATTGAAAATTTGACAGAAATTCAGTAGTTATTTATTCTATTTATAAAAGAGAAAAATCTATCTCCTCCCCCTGAATTATGTTTGAAACTTGGTAATAGGCACCGAAAATCTGTTATTACCAAGTAGAGATTGGCCAAGTTCAATCATATGAGAAATACTTCCTCATTGATCAACGTGAATCTATTGATGGAGAATGGAGAAGTTATAGGAAATGGTCAATAATTCTCAATCAATAATTTTTCTCCGCTGAAAGTGAGAGTTTTTTTTTTTAATTTTTTTTTTCAGTGGTGGTAGGGAGTGACTTGAAAAGTATTAAACATAACCATATCACCAACTGAATAACTATTGTAATTAAATTAGGGAAAGGGAAGGGATGGCCCTCAGTGGACGAGCCATCTCCACAACGACGCCAAATTTATCCTCCATGTTTACCTCATATTCATCTTCAAGCTTCCAATCGAAAAGATTGATGAGCGAACCCAGCATTAAATGCAGCATTCTCATCGCCAATGGCAATCCAGGGCAAATCCTCCTCCCTCCGCCGAACGGAATCAATTCGAAGCTCCGCCCTCTGACGTCAATTTCCGACGCTAAAAACCTCTCTGGTTCGAATGATTCTGGATTCTCCCAGCTCCTCGGATCTCTTCCGATCGCCCACGCATTTACGAGCACCTGTGCATCCTTTGGGATCGTGAAACCTCCAATTTCCACTTCTCGTTGCGCCTTACGAGGTAGCAATAAAGGAGCCACCGGATACAATCGGCAAGCTTCCTTCACCACCGCCTGCAGATATGGCAGCCTCGGAATGTCAGCCTCCTCCACTGGTTTGTTCTTCCCTAAAACTTGCCTGATTTCCGCTGTAGCTTTCGCTAATTTATCCGGATTCCTCAATAGCTCTGCCATTGCCCATTGCAATGTCGCTGAAGTTGTATCCGAGCCGGCGATGAACAGTATCTAGGTTAATTTGGCACAAATTAGAAAAAGGATGCATCAGAGAGCTATTTAAATTTCCTTACTGATTAAGAACCAAACGAGCTATTTCAATGTATATTTACGACTTACGAGTATTAAATGTTCCATTTGTTCTTTCTCGAGTTTGCTGTCTTCGCTTTTGAGAAGGTAATGCAATACATCGTTGTTCGGAGTAGAATCGGGACTCAGTTGCTGCTGCTTCATCCTCTGTTTGATCATGGCGTCTATAACATTCAAGATCTTCCCCATGTGAATCGCCATCCTCTTCCTCATCCCCTGAATGTCGAGCGTCCGCAACATGGGGAAATAGTCGCCCAAATTTGGTTTAGCGGCTTCTTCCAAGATCCCAGATACGCTATTCTTGAACTCCTTCGCTAATTCAGAATTCAGAATTGTCACATCGACCGAGAAAATTGTGTTCGAAATTAGATTCAGCGTCGTCACAAACCCTAATTTCCCTACGTCCACCGCCTCGCCTCTCAACGCAATTTTCCGAACAGTCGCAACTAGCTCCTCCACTTTCTTCTGACGAAGATTCTGGTTCGCGTCCAGAATTTTTCCGGCGAACAGAGTGTTGTTGCATATTTTCCGATAGCTTCTCCAGAGAGGAGAAACCGGAATCCATGGGAATGCGACCTCGTCGTGGCTAAGAACTTTCAGCGCATCTGGAATGGCTCTGTTGCACAGATCCTGGTCGTTGGTTTGAAGGACTTGTTTAGCCATGGCGGCAGAAGAAACCACCACCGCAGTAACCTGTCCGAGTTTGAGACTCATAACAGGGCCATGTACCTTGGCGAGGCTGGCCAGCGACTTGTGAGGCTTCTCTCCGAGATCCAGCAGATTTCCGATGACCGGCAGAGGCCTTGGTCCCGGCGGTAGCTTCGAGTTCCTTCTCGTCGCCGATTTTAGGGTCGAAATGAAAAAGAAGGCACAGAGGCAGAGAATGCAGCTCCAGAAGAACTCCATTTTCGACGATGCTCTGTTCTGGTTGTGAACTGGTCTTAACTCTTAGCTCGTCAAGCTAAGAACAGAGGAGTTCCCTCACCGCAGGGCCACCCGACTGAACAAATGCTAATTTCCAAGAACAATAATTCAGTGTCTTTATCACATTTCCCTCAAATTTGTCCTGCCGTGTCAGCCACTACATCAAAGACGAATAATGAAAATGATGTTTGACATTTTTCCATTGATAAACACACAAAATGGTAAAAGTAGTTGAAAATAATAAAGGTACAATTTTAGATATGACAAAAGGAAAAAAAAAAAACAGAAGCAAAATAAGCAAAATAACAATTATAAGCCTTAAAATGCGGATGCCCGTAAAACCATACATTTCGATTTTCACTAATATATGTGTATGATATATACATGATATATTTTTTATTTATCACTATATACAACTATATATACTACTGATATAATTATGATATATACTTCACTAATATAATGAAGAACGAGACGAACAAAAAACTTATTAAATACGGTATGATTTTTTTGGAATTCTAAAAAATTGAATCCTAGATTGCGAAGAAGAATCCCAAAGATGAACAAAAAATCTATTAAATACGGTATATGTCTGATATACTATTGATATAATATTCTGATATACCTAATGTGAGTTTCTATGTAATATATGTCTGATATATTATTGATATAATATTCTGATATACTTATATACGTATGTGATATACTACTGATATGAGTATAATATATTTGAAATATAAATATATGATATACATTTGATGTACTATTGATACAAGTATCTGATATACTTGCAATATGTATGTCTTGAAAGAGTAATTTGGAAATACTGAAATATTCAAAATCATAAATCCAAACACGAGTGTTATATTGTTAAATATATAAAACTAATTTGCTATCCAATGCAATCCCTCGCTAATAAATAAATAGTAGGAGAGTAGTTCACAGCAAGTAGCATTGTCAATTTATTTTTACGATTTCATTTAGTAAAAACTCAATCGGGACAATTCCACCTATAGTAATTTAGGCTAAGATTATAGCAATTCTTATTGGAAAAAAAACTTAGCTTCTAGATTATGGGAAAAGTTCCTCCGACTTATAGACAAGTGTTTTTTTAATTATTTATTATCTTTTAATATCTCATCAATATGTCACATAGTTTCTCTGTATTACTCACATCTCCCACCCCCTTTTTTTTTTTGTCTTTTATGATCTTCGCCTTCTTATTTTTGTGTTGTTTACTATTTTTAAGATCAAATTTACTATTTTGTTTTCTAAATCTATTGTATAATTTTTGTATCTGTTCCATACTATTTCAAAAAGAATATTTTTTCATCGTTACAGATGAAAAATTCTTATATCCTTTTTCTAGTATAACAAAAATTTTTATATCTTTCCTTCTGCTATCAAATAAATTTTGTTATTTTGTTCACAAATGCAAGAGTACATAGGATAAAGTTGAACTTAAAAATAATATGTGGTTTTGTTTATTTTTGTTTTCCTTGTATACAAAAAGATGCATTAAATTAAAAATAAAAAAACAAATTAATAAGAAAGATACTTGTGATTTTTTAAAATAGAAATAAAAAAACCTTAAAAAAACAGAGAAAAAAAATATGAGACAATAAATGCAAGAGAGAGAGAGAGAGAGAGAGAGAGAAAAAGAGGAAGAAGTAAGAGATAATGAGATATATGAGATATGAGATGAGATAGGGAGGTTTATTTCGACCACTTGAGTATTCAGAAAGATATACTCCTGAATCTCCGCAGCGAAGTTTTTTCTATTATTAATACCAGCTAAAAATATTTTAAAATAAGGTACAATTTGTATGCACTTTTTCTATCACAGTTTTGACCTAAAATATTGTTATATTTCAAAAATCTTATTTTGCCTGTGTGCGTTTTTTTTTCTTTTCTTTATTTTTTGAGTAAACGATGTTAAATTTATACCTCCTTTGAACAAATTTTTAATATTTATTTTCCAATATTTACTTTACTGATCTTTGTTTGTTTTCTACTCTGCTTTTCAAAAATATTTTTAAAATTCTAGCCAATATTTCAAATAAAATCAAAATTCAAACGAGCAAACCAGCATACTTTTTAAATGTAAAATTATTTAAAAGTATAAGAATTAAGTTGGTATATTTACAAGACAGCCAAAAGAGTCAGAAGATATAATTACGATAATGATAATACTATACTATACTATACTCCAATGCACTTATTTATTTTTTAAATATTAAAATTCCGAGCCATCGTCATGCATTGATCAAAGAATGGGAAAGGTAAGAGACCTATTAACAGCAAAGCAAATAGTACAATTGAAATTATATTCACAACATATATCTATGTTTTACAAATGATAATTCTAACAAAAAAAACTACTAAGTGTATTTAATATTAACAAAATATTAATTAAATGGGATTAAGAGTCAAAATGCCAATCAATAATAATTGAGTCCATTTTTAAAATTTTAAACCATGCGGTCAGAAAACGATTAGTTTTTTTTAAGTGCAAAACAAATAATGAAAAGAGAGCTTACATTAGAGTGTCAAAGACACTTGGAATCAAGAATCACAAAGATCTTTGACGGCAACATTTTCTTGGAGCTGACGTCAGACAAGGATTAGTTACAACATAGCTAATAATGTAAACAACAAATAATGGTAAACATTTGACAAAAAAAAAAATTATATATTTAGTTATGTCGAAAATAAAAGTGGATAATTAACTATATATTCCAAGTTAGACCTGAAATCAAAAGACCATATAATAGGTGACAAAAACTATTGCAAAAAACGAGCATAGTTCAATAGTAAATGACATATATTTCCGACCAAAAGATTGTAAGTCAAAACTACAACATTTTTAATCGCCAATTACCGCAATTGAATTGATTAAAACTATAAACTTTCATAATTGAATTAATTTATGCAATTTATTAGGGTTTCTATTTGAAAATAATTAATAAACAGTTTTCGTAGTGTGTATACTTATTTAAATGTAATATATTTATATATATATATATATATATATATTTTACAACATGTAAGATGAGAGATCGAACTCACAATCTCATCTCTTGGTTGAAGATATATGATAATTATAGTTGAACTATGCTACATTTGATTATTTAAATGCAAGATTAATGAAATATTATAAAAAATGTTATAATCTAATGAGTGATAGCGACTTTCATCAAGATGTCTGCGGTTTATTTTAATTATTTAATATATTACCTTACATGGTTAAAAAAATATAAGATAGTAGATTTGTATTAGTTTCCATCTTAGAAAGATAATCTATATTTATTTATCACTGAAAATGTATACCAGTCACCAGTAACATATACGAGCATAGTTTAACAATGCACTTGTGTCAACAATATTGGGGATGTTGTACCACATTAAACTTTCATTCTATTTTGAAATAATTAAAACATCTTAATACATAGCCAGTGTATTTCCAATATTTAGATGTTTGTTGTTTTTTCAGGGTGCGTGTTGGATGCTGATTTTCACCTGCCACATGTCAGTATCGTGAAGGTAGTTGGATTAGAAGCCGTGTCAAGTATAATAATTTGCCCAAGTTCATTGAGGGCCGAACCTAAGGCATGACATAAGTAAGTCGAGCCGAGCTATAGTTATATCTGTAACGGTGTTTCTTAAAATTCGACAACAGGTCGCGTTTTTAAGGTGTGTCAGAGTTCTTGTCGGGCCCAGTTTCTATAAATAGAAACTCCTGTCTTAAATGCAAATCCAGCCTTACTCGACAAATTAGATCGGACAGAAACTAACTTGTTCGTCGGAATGCTAATCTTGTTTTGTAAGTTCTTCAAGAGCTCTAGGAGGTTCCTTGACAACTCAGAGAAGATCATACCGATAGCTCCGACCTTCCCTTCTTCCGAACTCAAACAGTGTGGTTTTTCTTTTTTCTCTTCTAAGTTACATCCAAATTCCATACTTTTATTGAGAAAGCTACCTCCATCTTTAGTACCACTAAATTAAATTTCTTTCGATTTCTTTTTTCTTTTCTCAACTTGATCTCGTTACCTACCGTTCCACCAACACTTCTCAATCTTCAAAACCAATTGAGAAAAAAGATAAACTTCACTCATTTTACTTTGGGTAAAAATAAAGTAGATAGATTTTTACTCCCTTAAATTAGGCAAGGGAGTGCCCTCAGTGGACGAGCCATCTCCACAGTGACTCCAAATTTATCCTCCATGTTCACCTCGCATCCATCTTCAACCTTCCAATCGAAGAAATTGATGAGCGAACCCAGCATTAAATGCAGCATTCTCATCGCCAATGGCAATCCAGGGCAGATCCTCCTCCCTCCGCCGAACGGAATCAATTCGAAGCTCCGCCCTTTGACGTTAATTTCCGATCCTAAAAACCTCTCCGGTTCGAACAATTCTGGATTCTCCCAGCTCTTCGGATCTCTGCCGATCGCCCACGCATTTACCAGCATCTGCGCATCCTTCGGGATTGTGAAACCTCCAATTTCCACTTCTCGTTCCGCCTTACGAGGTAGCAACAAAGGAGCCACCGGATGCATCCGGAAAGCTTCCTTCACCACCGCCTGCAGATATGGCAGCTTTGGAATGTCCGCCTCCTCCACGGCCTTCTTCTTCCCCAAAACTTGCCTGATTTCCGCTTTAGCTTTTGCTAACTTCTCTGGATTCCTCAATAGCTCCGCCATTGCCCATTGTAGCGTCGCTGAAGTTGTATCCGAGCCGGCGACGAACAGTACCTAGGTTTAATTTGGCACAAATTGGAAAAATATGACGCATTAGAAAACTATTTGATCTAGTTTCCTTATTGATTAAGAATCTAACGGTTGTTTTTGGGGGATGTTTACGAGTAGTAAGTGTTGGATTTGATTTTTTTCAATTTCGCCATCTTCGTTTCTCAGAAGGTAATGCAACATATCGTTGTTGGGAGCAAAATTGGGATTAAGTTGCTGCTGCTTTATCCTCTGGTTGATCATGTCGTCCAGAAGATTCAAGATCTTCCCCATGTGAATCGTCATCCTCTCCCTAATCCCCTGAATGTCCAGCTTCCTCAACGCCGGGAAATAGTCGCTCAAATTAGGCTTTCCAGCTTCTTCCATGATGCTCCATACGCTATTCTTGAACTCTTTCGCCAATTCGGAATTCGGATCCGCAAAATCGACGGAGAAAATTGTGTTCGAGAGTAGATTCAGCGTCGTCGTAAACCCTAACCTCCCTACATCCACCGCCTCGCCCATCGACGCGCTTTCCCAGACAATTGCGACGAGCTCTTCCACTTTCTTTTGGCGAAGATTCTCGTTCGCGTCCAGAATTTTTCCGGCGAACAGCGTGTTGTTGCATATTTTCCGGTAGCTTCTCCAGAGAGGAGAAACCGGAATCCATGTAAATCCTAACTCGTCGTGGCCAAGAACTTTCAGCGCATCTGGAATGGCTCTGTTGCACAAATCTTGATCGTTGGTTTGAAGGACTTGTTTAGCCATGGCGGCAGAAGAAACCACCACCGCAGTAACCTGTCCGAGTTTCAGACTCATAACAGGGCCATGTACCTTGGAGAGGGCGGCCAGCGACTTGTGAGGCTTCTCGCCGAGATCCAGCAGATTTCCGATGACCGGCAGAGGCCTTGGTCCCGGCGGTAGCTTCGAGTTCCTTCTCGTCGCCGATTTTAGCGTCGCAATGAAAAAGAAGGCAATACAGAGGTAGAAGAAGCAGGTCCAGAGGAACTCCATTTCCGGCGAATGTTTGTACTCAACTGAACCGTTCACGAGTAACCTTTATTTATGGTTTTGATTTTTGAATGCGACAAAATAAGAACCATTTTCTTTATACCTAAGGTAAAGGTAGAAATATACCTTTAATAGTGAGAGAGTATGAAATATTTACACACACATAGATACCTAAATTTTATCCCCAATAAAAACATATGAGGACATAGATGTATGGAAATTTAGGTACGTTGTTTTCAAATATGTGTTTTGTAATATATTTGTAAGTTATTGAATAGCAAACTAGTTTAATTTAAAATATTATTAATTAACATAAATGTTATAAATTTAGTTAAAATTACGATTTTACAATATTATATACTATATAATATATTATACTTTATATGTTTTAACTGTAACAAAAATAAAATCAAATTATAACATAGTATATTTATAAAAAAAATATCTCTCTATTTTAAAGTTTGATTCAAATATGAAAAGATCATGCATTCAGTGAATCTGATTGATTTTTTAGTACAATAATTTAGGAATATATAGATCGAACCTCCAATCCCGAGAGGAAGAGTATATGCTAATTATCATTAAACTATATTTGCGCATTTAATCAACAGTGAGTTGTTCACTTGAGTTAATAATTATCAACAGTGGGTTGTTCACTTGAGTTAATAATTTTGTCTTGTTTCCGTCCTAAGTATGGCCTAAAAATGAACTAAAAAACCATCCAGCTTATTTTTACCAAAAATGAAATGACTGAAGTTTAAAAGAAAAATTACATTTTCATATCTTCCGTGCAAGCGAGGCGATCTTTTTTTTTTTTTTTCTCAATGGTTCTCTCTCTTACCAAATACATCTTTCATATTTTTTTTTAAGGATAATCGTGGTAGGCGACAAAAATATTTTATGTATTTTCTTTTCAAAATTTCAAATATAGTAAAATATTTGAATTTTTATTATTCCAATTTTTTTCCGTATGATATCTGATATACATTTAATGTATATCTATATCAGATACACATCCAATTTTATATATGATATACATCCAATTTATATATGATATACATACATCAAATCTATATCTGATATACATCTGATGTAAATTTATTTATGATATATATCAAATTTATATCTAATGTACATCCGATGTAATTCTGATATACTTTTGATATACATTCGACGCACTCCTAAATTATCAAATATACTACTGATATACATCAAATGTATGTATTATATATATAATATATATATATATATATATATATATATATATAATACTAAATATATTTACAACTGATCATATACTAATTATAAGGTATCTCAAATGTTTAATTTTTAGTGGTATGTCAGGTTAAATTATAGTTTATCATTTCAATTTGTCGGCTAATATACTAATATTACCAATAATGTTCATTACTATATCACTACTATTTATTCAATATTAATATTAATTAGATACTAAATATAAAGGATATCAACTATTTAAATTTATAAAGTATATTAAAATTTTAACTTGTCTTTTTGGACGTGCATGGTTCACATAAACCTTTTATATAATAACTTTATATTTCAAAAATAAAAAATAAAAAATCTTGCACCATTGTTTTCATCTAAAAAAATATTGGATATAATAGTATAATATGAACACATATATCATAGTTATATTAGTAGATATAATGGTTATATAAGAGATATATAAGTGGTAAATTAGAAGCATATTAAGTATATATCAGTGTTATATTAGTGGTAAATCATATAATCATATAAGAAGTTATATCCATAGATACCATAGTTATATCAGTGGTATATCATTTGTATATCAATGGTAAATTAGAGATATATCAAATATATATCACATATATATGTATTGTATCAATAAATGATTATCATACGTATATCGGTGGTAATACATGTTAGAATTTGAGTAGATATCATGGTTATACCATAAGTAAATAAATTATATATCATTATTATATCAATAGTATATAAGATATATATAACAGATATATTAAATGGTGAATTTGTAATTTTACAATTGGACCTCCGTTTTTTGTTTAAAAAAATGTTGTATTTGAAAAAACTAAATGTGGTTGCTATTTTACTTATTTTACTAAATTTTTTTTTCATATTTACGAGCAAGTGCCCTCTATTTCTAAGGAAGCTACATCCACTCTTAGTATTACTAGACTTCCATTTTTCTTACTCTTTTATAGGAGTGTAATTAAAGAATCAAACTGACTTGAAAGACCAAAACAAAACAAGTTCGGTTGGTTCGATTCTAAGAGTAGTCGATTTTGACTTGACAAATCGAGGGTTTTGTACCCTACCGTGGAGTACTCCGAATATTTGTTTCTACAATGATATGATATTATCCTGACTTTGTTTGCATTACTTTTACAAGTTCAACACCAACACTTCATTTTTTAGAGGTCAAACAAGTTTAATTATTCAATAAATTAATGACAAAGTTCAATTCTCATGATCATGAAAAATTCAAGAGTCAATTTATATAATAAAAAATTGGTTGATACAACACTGTGTTGGATTTATATAGAAATTTTGCTTTTATTAATTTAACATTGTATTTTTGTATACAACCCCCCTCAAGTTGGAGCACAGAGATTAAGAATGCCCAACTTGGATAACAGCAACAAAAAAAAGGGCAAAGGAAGGGCCTTTGTGAACAAGTTAGCGAGGCAAAATGAATCGGCAACCATTTGATGAAACCAGCATTGATTTTGGCACGAACAAAGTGACAATCAATCTCGATATGCTTCATACGTGCATGGAAATCGAGATTAGAAACCATATGAATTGTCGCCTGGTTGTCACATAATAGAAGAGTAGGCAGAGTAAATGAAATCTTCAGATCAGCCAAAAGATATGAGAGCCATACAATCTGCTAGTAACCACAGCAAGAGCCCGAAATTTGACTTCGACAAATGAGCAAGAAAAAGTAGATTGATTCTTAGCTTTCCAAGAGACGAATGAATCACCCAAAATATACAAAATCCAGTTGTGGACTTTCGAGAATCCACACAAGACACACAATCAGCATCTGCAAAAGCACACAACTGGAGGGACGACGATCGTTGAAGAAAAATACCTTGGCCATGGCTATTCTTAATGTATTGAAGAAGATGTTAAGCAGCTGCCAAATGATGCTGTCGAGGAAAAGCAACATATTGGCTTAACTTGTGGACTGTGAATACAATATCAGAGTGTGAGATGGTGAGATAAAGGAGTCGCCCAATAAGCCATCAATAATAAGACGGATCAGCAATAAGTTCTCCACTAGAGGCATTTAATTTGATAGCAGGATCCATGGGCAACAAGGCTGATTTGGAGGCTAGCAAACCAGAGTCCTAGAAAAGCTATAAGGCATAATTCCTCTAAGATAAGAAAATTCCAGTAGATAAATGGACTACTTCCAATTCTAGAAAGTACTTCAAAGAGTCCAAGTCCTTCAACCGAAAAGCATTATTAGGATGAACTTTAAAGGAAGCAATAACAGAAGCAGAAGGTCCAACAATAATAATGTCATCAACGTATGCTAAAAGGGCAACAAAGGTTTCACCATTCCTTTAGTAAACAAGGAATAGTCAGACTTAACTTGACGAAAGCCAAGAAGTAGAAGAGCCTGAGAAAACTCATCAGACCACTGTCGAGAGGCTTGTTTAAGTCCATAGATAAACTTATGAAGCTTGCACACAAGTTTCTGCCCCTGAGAAAATACTTTACCATGCTTATAAACGAGGGGCAAATCCCTGAACACGTCCTCAAATAAGTCACCATGCAAAAAAGCATTGTTGACATCGAGTTGAACAAGAACCCAATTAAAAGAAGCTGCAAGAGTGAGCAAGTGACTAATTTGGCAACCGGAGAAAAGGTCTTAATATAATCAAGGCCTTCTTGTTGAGTATATTATTTAGCAACCAGCCTAGCCTTGTATCGCTCGATGGAACCATCAGACTTATGTTTGACCTTATCACCCATTTACAATCGATAGAATGTTGTCCTAAAGGAAGAGGGACAACAGACCAAGTCTTGTTCAATTCCATAGTCTTCAACTCATCATTCATAGCAGTGCGCCACTGAGTAAAGGGAATGACTTGGTGATAAAATTGAGGCTCAAAGTAAGAAGATACACTTGGTACAAAAGTCCTATGAGATGGTGACAAATTGTGATAAGACAAATAATTGTCTAAAAGATAACAAAGAGAGCTACTGGTCGAAGAGTTGTGAACAAGACTACAATGATAGTCTTTAAGATATGAGGGTCGCTATGTAGGCCGAGAAGACCTACGAACAGGTTGCACAGCATTCGGGTTCACAACAAATGAACCAGCACCATTTGGGTTCACAGCAGATGGACAAGCACCATCAGAAGCAACATGCAGAAGGTTGGGCAGCAACAGAATCGGCAATAACAACCGGGCAGATTAAAGGCAGTGGATTCAATAATAGGAGAATTGGCCTCAAGAATCGGAGATTCAGTGACAGTGGTCTCAATAATAGAAACATCAGTGGTCTCAATAATAGAAACATCATCGAAACAAGAAGAATTAGGAATAAGAACCTTGTGCTGAACAAGAGACTTGAACATTAGCATGAGCATTATTAGCATGGACAGCTTCAATAGTGGAAGTCAAAGGCTCAAAAGACAGCATAGGATAAAAACTCCCAGAAAAATCATATGACTTAGGCAATATAATATCAGGAAATGCGTCAACATCGTCAATAGGTTGAGAAGAAACTGTATGAAATGAGAAAGAACTCTCATGAAAGATAACATCTCGTGATACAAAAAACCGCTTGTGCTCAATATTATAAAACTGATAGCTTTTCATCCCTGGCGAATAACCAACAAAAATCGTAGGAAGAGCACGAGGATGAAACTTAGAACGATTAACAGGAGAAGTAGATGCAAAACATAAGCCAAACACTCTCAGAGAAGAATAATCAACAGTCTTCCCATAAAACCAATGAAAATGAGTATCCCAACCACGAATAGAAGAGGAAGTTCAATTTATTAAAAAAGAAGTTGTAAGAACACATTCTATCCAAAAGGTAATGGGAACACGAGATTGAAAAATAAGGATATGGCCACATTCAATAGGTGTTGATGCTTTCGTTCAACTACTGGATTTTGCTGGGGATGACCAACACAAGAAAACTGATGGACAACCCCTTTGGAACGAAAAAATTCAGTAAAGGATAACTCTGGAGCATTATCAAACCTAAAACACTTAATAACTTCACCAAATTGTATTTCAATAAACCCTATTTTGTTTTTGACAGTGAGAGCGATCACCATGAATCTACTTCGAGATGTATAATTCTCATCCGTAAGTAGATGAGACACTGAAACCAGGCTGGTAATATCTGAATGATGTAGAAAATAAAGATTTGCATATTGTTCCAGGAACGATGAATCGACTGATAAAGAAGAAAAAGCAGTGGGATTAATAGTGCCATGGAGATTCAACACGAAAACGAACAAAGTAGAAAATGGAGGAAATTTGGAACGTACTTCGAGGGTTGAGAAAGTAGGTAACTGCCAAATTAAATGCACTTTCAAAACTCTCTCATAAATTTGGTCTGATACCATATTAGAGTTTAGAGTACATTAGAATGTGCATTAAATATTATTAATGAAATAAGCATATTAAATACAGAGAGTAATTACACAACTTGAATATAAAAAACTAACCAACTACTACAAACAGATTAATAAGCTTATTATCTCTTTCTGTTTTTATTTTGCATTTTCTGTTTTTATCTTTTAGCTTTCACTAATTTTTTTTCAATCTCTCTAAACTTATTCTTTCACAAATTTCTATTTAAAAAATGTCTTCTTATCTACTTAAATTGTTATTTTCATGTCTTTATATTAGACAGTACAAAAATTTCAGTAAGGTCGGTCCTCACCCAAAAAAATAAAAATTCACTTTTCACCCTGCGTCGACCCTCCCTGATTACGTTTTCAAATAATTAATCTATATTTTATTAATGATTTTACTAAATTATGAATAAAATATTAAATATTTTTAACTAATTTTATAAATATATATATATATATATAAATATATATATTATTTATTTATTTATGGATGATTTATCGACCTAGACCTTGATTTCTAGAAATGGATAATGGGATGGAGACGAGGACTAAAAATTTTTGGAGGATGAAGAGGACATCCAACGGGAGCCCCACTCTGTTATAATATTTACTTTACATAGAATTTTTTTCTCTAACATATCAGTTCAACTCTCAAACTTTTTAGATGACAAGTAACAAAAATTAGTTATTTAACAGGTTTGGTTTCATTGTATTTCGAGAATGATTTTCTTTAGTACGACAAATATGAGGATAGAGAATTGAACCTGCGACCATAAAGAAGAAAAAGATATTTTATTTGTTTAACTATGTTTATCTTGGGGTTTTGAGAATGGTTATTAAGCCTAGTTAAAGAGCCTCGTTTGTGATCCTCTCCAAGACCAAAAAAAAAAAGGAAAAAAAATTCTAAAACATAGTATGTTTTTTTTTCACTCCTTTTTTTTTCTAATACGAGGGGTGGGCGAACTCATGACTTACATGAAAAGAAAATTAACATTTTTTATATCTTCCATAGCATGCATGAAAGATTATTTTATTTTTAGATGACTTTCTCTCTTTTCAATTTCTTTAAAGGAAAATTATTTACTCAAAGTTTAACAAATAAAAACATTTGTCACTACATTCGTCCATGGCTAGGCAGTTCTACGAGAATATTTATCCATTGCTGATCACTATTAAACTTTTGGTAGGTAGTAGAGAGATATCTTCTTAATCAAAAGAATAGAGAGTTATCAAATTTTTAAGGTTAGATCAAAATAAATAAATGTTGACAGTTCGTGTAAGTATTTGATCATAATTTAATTAGAATGGGAACAATGCATAACTTAAAAGCGAGCAAGGTTAAATACCTCCAACCTAGTTCGATCCCTACCTCTCGTACTCAGGAGAGGAAAAAGAAAATGGAAGATTTTTTATTTTTTTAAATATATATGCTTCTGCATTTCTTCCATTTACACGTTCTATCAACATTTAAATATTATTTTTAAATTAGGGAAGGGATGGCCCTGAGTGAACAAACCATCTCCACAGCGACACCAAACTTATCGTCCATGTTCACATGGAATCCATCTTCAACCTTCCAATCGAAGAAATTGATGAGCGAACCCAGCATTAAATGTAGCATTCTCATCGCCAATGGCAATCCAGGGCAGATCCTTCTCCCTCCGCCGAACGGGATCAGCTCAAAGCTCCGTCCTCTGACGTCAATTTTTGACCCCAAAAACCTCTCCGGTTCGAACAATTCTGGATTCTCCCAGCTCTTCGGATCTCGCCCGATCGCCCACGCATTTACGAGCACCTGTGAATCCTTCGCGATTGTGAAACCTCCAATTTCCACTTCATGCTGCGCCTTGCGAGGTAGCAACAAAGGAACCACTGGATGCAATCGACAAGCTTCCTTCACCACCGCCCGCAGATATGGCAGTCTCGGAATGTCCGCCTCATCCACTAGCTTGTTCTTCCCCAAAACTTGCCTGATTTCTGCTTCAGCTTTCACCAATTTCTCTGGATTCCTCAATAGCTCCGCCATTGCCCATTGTAATGTCATTGAAGTTGTGTCCGAGCCGGCGACGAACAGTACCTAGGTATAATTTGGCACAAATTAGAAAAACGAATGATTTTCCTTAAGAATATAACGATTTTTTGAGGGATGTTTACGAGTAGTAAATGTTCCATTTGATTTTTATCGATTTCGCTGTCTTCATTGTTTAGAAGGTAATGCAGCATATCGTTGTTTGGAACAGAATCGGAATTCAGTAGATGCTGCTCCATCCTCTGTTTGATCATGCCGTCTAGAAGATTCAAGATCTTCTCCATGTGAATCGTCATCCTCTTCCTCATCCCCTGAATGTCCAGCTTCCTCAACGCGGGAAAATAGTCGCCCAAATTAGGTTTAGTAACTTCTTCCATGATGCCCCATACGTTATTCTTGAACTCTTTCGCCAATTCGGAATTCGGATCTGCCAAATCGACTGAGAAAATCGTGTTCGAAAGTAGATTCAGCGTTGTCATAAATCCTAACCTCCCTAAATCCACCGCTTCGCCCGTCGCTGCATTTTTTCGAACAATCTCGACGAGCTCCTCCACTTTCTTCCGACGAAGATTTTGGTTTGCGTCCAGAATTCTTGCGGCAAATAGCGTGTTGTTGCATATTTTTCGATAGCTTCTCCAGAGAGGAGAAACTGGAATCCATGGGAATCCCAATTCGTGGTGGCGAAAAGCTTTGAGTGCATCTGGAATGGCTCTGTTGCACAGATCCTGGTCGTTGGTTTGAAGGACTTGTTTAGCCATGGCGGCAGAAGAAACCACCACCGCAGTAACCTGTCCGAGTTTGAGACTCATAACAGGGCCATGTACCTTGGCGAGGCTGGACAGCGACTTGTGGGAATTCTCGCCGAGGTCCAGCAAATTTCCGATGATCGGCAGTGGCTTTGGTCCTGGAGGAAGCTTTGCCTTACTGCTCATCGCTGATTTTAGCCTCGCAATGAAAAATAAGGCAATACAGAAGCAGAGGATGCTGCTCCAGAGGAATTCCATTTTGCCAGCGATGTTTCATTTTGTTTATGAGAACGTACTTTCATTTATAGTTTTAATTTTTGAATGTGACAAAATGAGAATCATTTTCATGCTACCTAAGGTTATGCAAAGCCATAATATTCCAAAAATTATATATTTATTATTTAGTAACGATCTCTATATATATTTTAATCTTAAGTCACATCCCCACAACCACACGTGATTATTTTATTTTTCTCTGTTTAGTGATCTGATTAATTGATATATGTTCTGTTTAGCCGTGTTTAGTAGACTTTTCAATCAGAAATAAATCTATTAATCAATCAATTTGAGACTGTGATTAAATTTTTCACTCCATAGGACAAATTTCATATGCATTCTAAAAAAATATTACAATTTTTTATTGTGATTAACCCATTAGCTTGACTCAACTAAAATCTGATATGTTTTATATTACAATTAAGTTTGAATTTGAATGTGATTCTTTTATTTTATTAACAAAATTAAAATTAAAATTTTTTGCCGTGTTTGAAAACACAATTTTATTTTATGCTATTTATGTAAATGTCTCTTCAAAGAGGTGGAAATTCAAACTTTCATCATTTAAGAGACATATCACACATTTCTTGATTAGTTGACTCAGTGGTCAGGGCATGCATATTGGAGTTGAAGTTTAAATCCCCATCTCATATATGGTTCAACTAAAAAAAGGGAAAGCGTTTAAACACGCAAAGATAAATGACTTTGACGTAAAAAATAAAATTGTAATTAACCAGCCCTAAAAAAATGAAAAAGAAAACACTCAAAAGTAAATAAATAAATTATATGTGTGTGAGAGAAAGGGAAGGCCCACCATGATTGATAGGTCATTCCAATCTACCTGTGTATTCCTCGTTCCACTAATAATGAGTTGTTACTGATTCATCTAAGGAAGGTATAGACCTCTTTTGTCTTATTAGCGCAGATGTCCGTCAATGTTTCAGTTGAAATATGATCGCTTAGTTTGCTTCGAAATCGTTGAAGTAGATTCAGGACCTGCAAAACAATAATGAGCACTCCGAAGCTCAAGTTAGTCACAATTTGAACTACTTTAGTTTAAATTCACAACCAGACTCGCGCGTACTTGAAAATAACGTTAGCTTTGATATTTATATGAGACTCGTGGTTACACCCTCTCAGAGAACACTTCGCCACTGACAGAAATATATGGCGCAAAATCTGCAAGAGTGGTTAGTGGCGCTATTTAATGGTTATCGATTCGCGTATCTTTATTTCAACCCTTTGACGAAGTTGATTGTATTTCGGAACCCATTGCAATCTTCCGATTTCAACCTTAATAAATGTCCAATTGTCACACAGTTGATACATGTAACGTTAAATTGCACCCTTTATCAATGAACGATGAAAGCTGCTGAATTTTAGACTCGAGTCGAAAAAGAGAGTTAGGTCCAAGGACTATCGAAGACAGGTAGATTATAGAGCCGGGAGAAGATCATATCAAAGGTTTGTCCATTATGGAATTGGCCAACATAGGTTGATTCCAACTAGAATAAATCTCTTAACCGTTAGTTATGTTCTAATTTACTTTAACTGATATTGTATATTTTAATAATGTTCATTAAAATATTGTATTTTTTAACTCATTACCAAAAAAAAAAAAGTTGATACTTCTTTAATGTAATTGGAAGAATATGCTAGTTTTTGTGATGTGGCAAAATCTGCCTGGTAAAATCGCGTGTCTTGAACATATTTTTAGGCATAATTTACACTCTCCCCGACTTCAAAACAATAAAAAAAGTTCCAAGTTAAACCTGAAAATTGTCCCTTGAAAATACGATTTTTATATATGATACGTGGACAAAAACAACTACAATATCTTTACAATGATTTTTAAGAATTTTTACAATTGTAATCTTTTCCATGTTTACCGGGTAAAAAAAGTATAAATTAGTTGTGTTCCATGAATTTTAAATTCATGAGGAGATGATCCATATTTAGCATTAAAAATGTGTCATATAATAGCTAATATGAATATAGTTCCACGACACTTTACAAGTTTATATATCTTTCATTTGAAATGATTATAATAATGACTACTATTGAACTATTTATGAAGCTAATGATATAACTAAATATATATGAAATCAATTAAGGTCGTACTTACTTACCAGAAATTGAAATGGGAATGAATCAGAATAAAAATCAATCAGAATGAGAATGTTATTCATTTGATGTTGTTTACCAAAAGTTTTCTAGAACCGGAATCAGAATTCTTTTGATGTTGTTTACTAAAACGGTCTGGAGTCAGAATCGGAATCAAATATGTAACAAATCTTCTTTCTAGTTAATTATAAATACATGATTGTGCTAACATTTTTTTAATTACAATAACAATAAATTTTAATTTATTTTATTACTATAGGATTGATAGGAAATGTTTTTTATTCTAACAATTTATTTAGTATTAATAATAATGAATAATTAAAATAAAATTACATCAATTAAAATACTTTTTTATTAAAATTTAATATAAAATATTATTAAATTTTATTATTCTAATATTCAAAAACAATAAATTCTATTTTAAATATTACATTGATATTAATTAATAATAACAAATTTAAAAATTTCAAATTAAATATAAATTTATAACAAAATCATATCAACCAATAAAAGTTATATAAATCTTTAAAAAAAAGTTAGGAGTCTCAATAATAAAGGGAGAAATAGGGTAAAAGTAGTAAAATAACTTAATATGATTGATTAGGGTGTAGAAGAGGGATGTGATTGACCGTTAGGGGATGTGATATCTAAATTTGGAGTGGGTCCCACAATTTGATTCCATTCCTACAACTTGATAAACATCATTGAAGGGAATGGAAAAATTCATTGAGTGGAAGTAAACATGGCATAAATAACTAATAATTAGAGATCCAATCTCTGTATGGCATAAATAACTAATAATTAGAGATCCAATCTCTGTGGGTACTCGACCCGATCGAGTCAGGGATTCTCCGGTCTGATTGGGAACAAAGTCAAACAGGGTATTCCAATATACTGAACTGACAATAGTTATTATCATTGATGTCGAAAGTTCAAATTCACGCTCCCACATTATACTAAAAAATGCAAAAATAATATGTCGTTATTATCGACGCATTAACAACCGTGAACAATATTGTGATTTTGTACTCGTATTGTATCTCCATTAACTTGTATTTTATTTTGAAATAATGAAAAATATCTGAATATATGGATGACTGAGTAAAATACAATGTGGAAATTTAAATTTACAACTTCTTTATTGAAAATATGATAGGGATGAATAAATATTTACGCAAGTTAGGTACATTGAATCATGATTGTCAACTTCAGTTAATAAAACGAGTGAGCTAAAAGACAATCTACTTTTTGTTTTTTTGTTTTTTTGTGAAAATTAAATGAGTGAAGTCTAGAAGAAAGATCACACTTTTATTTCCACAGGTGTGCAATGTTATCATATTTCTGGATTAGTACTCTTTCTTAATAATTACATCTATCATTTTTTCAAGAAGCTACGTCCACCCTCAGTAACATTAAACTTTAATTTTTCTTCTTTTCGAACTCTTACGTCTCTTCTCTGCTTTCTCCCCAAAATTTACTTTAATCTTTTTCTCTCAGTCACCAACTTTTTACATAAACTAACATTTAATTTTCGTAGATGTTCTTTTCAACAAATTTAATTATTGAATAAATTAATGACATTGTTGAATTTTTACAATTGCGAAAGTTTAAGAGTTAATTTCTATTATGTTAAAATTTTGTAAATAAAGATGTAAATAGTCAATTTTTAAAATTACAAAAATTAAAATAGACGTTTTCAAAGTACAACCAAAATAAAATATATAGAGACCAAAATATTACTTAAAAAAGATATATACAAGTCAACCATTATGTTTTCAAATAACATTACAGGGTTGTTTTATAGTCAGTACCTAATTTTTTTGTTAACCATCACTAAAATTTTATCCCTTTTTTTATTTTTTAAAAATATATATAATTTTTTATATATTCCTCTTCAGAAAAAAATACTTTAGTCTTAAAACAAATAAATCATTAACCAACATGAGTTTAGTTCAACAGTAATTGGTTCATGAGCAAACTACGTTGTAAACTAACGGTTGAGAAACGTAGAAACCAATCCCCTGCGAGTAAGGATAATTCCGAAATGGTCTAAAACATTCCTTACATCGCCACGTGGCTCTCTTTAAGTAATTAATCTCGATTAAGATCGAAGAACGTCCGTCGGATCGGTAAGCCCACCAAAATTATATTGTGCGCAGGAACGTAAATAAACTTCTCTGGTACAAATATCAGCTACCCAATTTTTATTGATCAGATCAAACCGTTCACTATTCTAAGCTTAGATAAAATAAGAACGTAACATTTGATTTAAATAATTATATTTTTTAATGGAAGATAGGTGCCTATAATTTTCTGAAAAAAAAAGGAAAAAAAAAGAAGATAGGTGCCTATGATATATACTTTAGCAAGTGACATTTTTAATTGTTTTAAAAATATAGAATATAAAAAATAATTTTATTTATTATTAATCATCATGTTTAAAAGAGTCAAGGTAAATTTTAAAGAATTTTAAAGAAATAAGTTCAAACAATACCTAATATTTAATATCTTACGATTTTCTTAGGCAACTAAATGTAGATATTCGTTAAACCAAACATAACTCAACTAGTTAAGACATGAACAAAAAATCGTGAGTGTGAATTTCCATTCCTATTTGTTGTACTAAAAAAAGAACTAAATGTAGATATTCCAAAACTATTTCTTTTCAATAAATAAAGATAAACTATTTACATTTTGTACCTTTTTATATTTCTTTCATTTATCAATGGATGTATTTAATTTTTTTCTATTTCTTTTGATATTCAAAAATTGGGAGTTCGAACGATCATGACCTCTTGAGAGCTAGGCTCGATTTGACATATTCGAAAATACTTTTTAAATTACAGGAAGTATCTTTAAATTTTTATAAATGAAGGTAGGACGATGATATTCTGATCTATACTTTCTTATATTCCCATAATTTGTCATTAATCATGAGTGTATTTAGAATTTCATTTAACTTTTCATATTCTCAACGATTTTCAAATAAATTAAAACTATTCATATCTTATACCTTTTTATATTACTTTCCTTTATCAATAATTATGGTTATATTTAAGTTCTCATTTATCCGATCCAATTTTGTAACCACCTTATCTTGCTTATTGTAAAATATAATAAAATTTAAAGTTAATTTTTATATTTTTAATATCTTAATTTAAAAAAGATATAAGTAATGTCATATATTAATGATTTGAAAAGTTATTTAACTAATTCGTACGTGTATTTTGAATATCACATTTACATAAATTATAATAAATGAATAACTTATTAGAGAAAAACTTATTTTTAACTTATTAGAGAAAAACTTATTTAAAATTATATATATATACACGAATTTTTGGACTAATTCTTTTATTAATTAATTTTTTATAATTATTTTTATTAATGACATTTTTAGCATTTAAATAAATTAATCATTATAAAACCTAATATTAATAACATGTTCATGAAGTTAGAAATTAAAGTATGGTTATAATAGTCCAAAAATTAATACACACAAATATATATTCTCTATTTTTCTTAACTCGAGCCAGAGAATAAAAATGAAATTAAACCCAATAAATGTTACAATTATTATAAACATTATTCAAATTAGATGTCCAATCTTAGGTATCAAAAAGAAATATTTAACCCTAACCCCAACCTCATGTATCAATTTCTCTCATTTGTTTAGTTTCTCCACGTGACAAGTTGATCCGTATTCATTGCTTCATTCTCGACATCTCATGTGTCTATTTTCCCACCTATGATTAGTGTCCAAATGTAACATATCACACGGTTGTACAAATTGCATATAAATAGTGGCAATTCATGCTTAATTTGTGAGGGAGAGTTTTGGTAGAATCTTTGTTGAATTTCTAAAAGAAATTTATGTTTTATTTTCAAATTTCTAATTTTATATTTGGTCAAATCTCGTATTTTCTCATTCTTAATGGTTGGTGGTGCCTCATTTTACTCCATAATTTTACAAAAGAATAATTAAATTGTGAAGGGAGTGCTACAATTACTTCACTATATCTTGAAGAAAAAAAATGCCTAAACTATACTATACATTAAATTAGCTAAATTTCTCTAAAGAAAAAAGGCAAAATAAATTAAATGCCATACTCATCCAAACCGAATAAAGGGAAGAAAAAGACCAATATAGCACTCGTTTGTTTCTGGTGTCGTGTCAAAAGCCAGGGGCTAAGAGGGAAATTAATAAATCGATAATTTACAAAACAGAAAAACAAAATAATTTCTCTCAACGTCGTCGTTTAAGCTTCATTTTGTTCTTACCCTTTTCTCTAAGATTGCCTCCTCCAAACTACCAGCGGTTTCTCCCCGACTACAAGTCATTTCCACGGCCACATTTCTTCCCCAGTAATCGCATTGAGTAGCTCTTCAATCTCTGCAAAACCTTCTCTACTGGTCAGCAACCATTCGCTAATTTGATATCTTCTTCGTTTCTTGTTATTTCTAGACTTGGCATTCGTATTCGTTTTTGTTCTGTAACGTATGTAATAGTTTCGTTATTTGTTCTGTTCAGCTCGTAATTCTTCTCGGATGTTACTCATTTTCGTTTACTTCTGCTTTTGGAATCTTGGCTGGAGCCTCTCAGGCTCACTGACTTCTGCGATTCAAGAACTGTTTTTTGGTTTTGGGTAATTATAAGCTTTTTGGGTTTGTGGGATTACTGTATATTAAGATTTCTTTTTGTGTGAATCTGTAAGTGAATGTTTCGGGCCAGGTGTATTTCGGCTAATGGTTCGAGATTTTATTTTAGTATCTGAATAATCCATTATTTTCATTTGCTTACTATGGTCTTGATGGGATGGAAATTTCGAACATATGGCGGTCATGAGAAGTGAATTTATCAGAAGTCAATCCTATAAGAAGTTCAAAGTTTTTTAACCTTAGTTTTTGGCCTTTTGCTTTGTTATAAGATCAAAATTGGATAGGACGATTTTTAAAGTCATTCCTCGCTCCACAATCCACATAGTATTGGGACACAGTTGAACCTCTGTCTATGTCTCTCTCTTGTATATGATTCTTTTGGCACTCACTTTGAATTTTTGGTTTTTTAGCTCACTCTTCCATGACTACAACTTTGTTAAATTCCAGGATCTCGTACTCGCAAGAAAATAGCTTCAGTCTGTCTGCAAATAGTAGTGCCATGGCTGGCTGAAATAACTGGTCTTTCCGGAGTATTTAAGGGGAAGTTTATTAAAATGTCATAAGATTTTATCAAAAGCTACACATCCATGGAGAGTTCATCTGTGTTGCTTGGATCCAAGGGCCTAATAAGGAAACATGAGTTCGTTAGAGTTATAATTCAATGCTTATATTCATTTGGTTACCAAAAGTCCGCACTATGTTTGGAAGACGAGTCTGGAATTTCATACAAATCTAGCGATTTCAAGTTGCTGGAATCACAAATTTGTAGTGGTAATTGGTATGGTTGCATTGACACAATAAATGGCATCAAGGATCTAACTGATGATGTAAGAGTTTCCGCTCTGTTTCTTGTACTTAAACATTGTTTGCTTGAGTATTCTAATTGTGGGGATGATGCATCAGCACTAGCTATGCTGCGTAAAGAGGCTCCGATATTCCATTTTAGTAGAGACAAAATCCACAAGCTTGCTTATGGTATATTTACTTCCAAGAACACGAATCTGGATAATTCAAACGACAATGTCATTCATGAGCTACGGAAGAAGTTGTTGCGAGATTTGGAAAAAACTCTTCCTCCACCAAGTTGTTTGCCAGATAGAAGGTTGGAGCAATTGGTTGAAACCACTGTTATGGCACAGATTGATTCGTGTATATATCATAATTTTTCTGGTGCAGTTTCAATCTATGAGGACCACTGCTGTGGCAGGGATCAAATACCAACAGAGACGGTTCAGGTGCATTTTACCCTATATTTCTTGTTTTATATTCTTCATTTCCATGCATCATTTTTTATGACTTTGGAAAAAAGGGCTTCTATGTGTAAAATATCATGATGGAATATATTTTTTTTTACAATTGGATTGGTTCTCTCAAATTCACGTAAGTAAGATATGAATATAATCTTTGCAATCAAATCATTTCCATTATGGAATATTATATACATGTGTAAATTTTCTTTGCTTTTATTTCAGCATTTGGTACTCCATTATCAGTTTGTGAAAAATAAAAAGAAGAAGAAAGAAAAAGAGGATTGATATTCAGTACACATAGTGCTTGTTTGTTTGTTTTTAAAACAAAATTTCTTACTATGCAGATTTTGACCGAACATAAGAATGAAGTTTGGTTTGTTCAATTTTCTAATAATGGAGAATACTTGGCCTCTTCTTCCAGCGATTGCTCAGCTATTATTTGGAAGGTACCCTTTAGACCGCATCTTTTAACATTTGAATTAACATTAGAGTTAAGTTATCATTATCATTACCAGTTACGAAATAGAGACAAGGATTCATTAGTAATCTAAAGGAGGTTCAAAGGCACAAACTGAAGGAAGGTAGATGAGGTCATCTTCCTAGCCAGGGACTTAAAATAAAACCTCCCCAAATTAAAGTTGTTTGAATGTTGCCTAACTTGTAAACATTGCATACGGAAGTGTAAAAACAAATAGTTTCTAGTTAAGACTTGCCAATTTGGCCCTCAAATATTGTCCGTTTCCAATTTCCTTGAAGATCAGATTGCGAACATTGGGTCATTGAAGTATTGATCTACATTCTTTTTCCATCTAAATTAGCATACTAATGGGTAGCCTGTTAAGAATGATCAAATATTTTTCTGCTATCCATTATGGAGTCTGTCTACTTTGTGCCATCAAATAAGGTAATGGTTGGACGCGCCCGCAGGGAACTCTCTCATGCCCACCAATAAATGAAATCGTGTATCCATATTACTCTATATGTAATTTACTTTCTACAAATCCCACATTTCAACCCCACGTGAAGGGAGGCATTGGACTCATGGGTTAGGTTTGTATAGTTTAGAATCATGATATCAATTTAGAGTTATAGTCTTTATATGTAGATATGAGCACAGTTTTACACATTTGAACAATATTATCTGTATGAAATTATGTTCTTGGTGTCATAACTCTTACAGCACATGGTATTCTTTAAATTGTTAGGTGATTTTGTCGTTAGGGAGTTAGGATAACAGCATGCAAAAACTGCTACTAAACTAGTCACAAGACATATATGGTTCAAATTTTTGCCTTTTGGTTCATGATTCAATGCAATCTCAGATAAAACCTGGAGTTGCTGCTGAAGCTATTTTTCCCCAAAACCGTGAACTTTAGTTTCATTTTGGTTTTTGTAGAATTTAGATTTGGGTTAGAAATTTGATTTTGCCAAACCTTATTATTGTTTGCCTTATTGTCTATGACATGTTTTTCAATTAAAAAAATTCTTATCTTAATAGTAATAAATTGAAAAAGATTCTTACTAGTTACTGAAAGCATTAAAACTGTGGAGCACATTTGCACACAAGTTGAGTTCATGTATTTTATGGTCACATAGGTTCAAACTTATGTAACAGTAATAAACTGAAAAAGATTCTAGTTACTGAAAACATTAAAACTGTGGAGCACACTTGCACACAAGTTGAGTTCATGTATTTTATGGTTACGTAGGTTCAAACTTATAGAGCACACTTGGGCCATATGTTTGCTAGTTTAAAAAAATCACAAACCCACAAACTAGATACATGTTACACGGACCAGAATGATTATAATCCATTATTATAGTCAATTTAAACTTCGGCTAAATGAATATGAACTTTCCAAACGCAAGCTTATTAAGACTCCTTTCTCACCTTTCCGCTCACTTTCCCATTCCTACACTGCAGCTACCTCCAGTCTTTCTCTGTGCTCTCCTTCTCTTGTTAGCTTCCTCTCTTTCGGGCATGGAATTTGCTTTTAGGTGTTTGGTTCTGTTGGAAGTCCTAGAAAGTGCAATCTGCAACTTGTAAGTGTTCCATAAATTTTTTTTCTAATCATCTACTTTGAAGGGAAGAAGGATCCCAACAAACTTAGATTGGTGAAAAGAAAAAACAGAACTTCTGTGAACTCAAGTTGGAGAGAGGGTTAGGGGCCTGGTTGGATAATGTTTTGGATGACCTGATGACTGCCCCATTTAATTGTAAATTCTTCAGTCAAATCAGATCAAAGTTCTGTGGCTTTAGAAAATAAAAGAAGGGGGGTGGGGGGGTTTGTTGTTCCTAGAAATTTTAAATGTCTCTTAGGAATGTAGAAGGCAGAACTTAGTGGTGCCAGCAGGAAGTGATATTTAATTTGAAGGAGTGGAAGTCCTTCTGAACCCTCTTAAGAAGGACTGTTCGAGAGCTTTTACAAACGAGGCTTATTATTATTATTATAAGAAACAAATTCATTGACAAAAGAAGGGGAAAACCACGATGCAAAGGAGTTACATAAAAGATCTCCAATTGGATAAAAGAGATGTGTAGCTGTAGTAATGGAAAAGAGGAGAGCATTTACACTCATTGATAACCAAATGAATTATCGGTTAAAAAAACGATGTAAGGAGGCTGATAGTGATGGTTCTGCTTGGGTCTTGCCTTGTGTAAGGAGGTCGGCAGGACAAATTGGGAGAAAATTTATTATTTACAGGAGATTCTTTCACGATGATGGGGCAAAGATCATTAAGTGTCAGCGGGCTTTAAATGCATTACTAACCCCTTCCAATGACCTTTGAAAACTGAAGCTGAACTATTGTAAGTTGTCGTATTGTAGGAAACTTCGGTGAGATTTGAAAGTGAGATGCAACTATACAGGCACCGAGGAAGAAAAAATGGTGATTCCAAACTAGGGGGTGGGCTAAAAATTCGAAATGCCACCGAAGGTGGAAATTTGAGGTGCTGAAGGCTATTGGAGATGAGAGTGGTGGGTTTTTACTTTTTAGAATGCTTCCAGATAACTCTGTCTTACGTACTGTAGGGAATTGACTATTAAGGTGAAAAATAATTATTAAGAAATCCTACATGCCGATATTGACGTTGAAGTTGAAAATCTTGAAAAGTTCCTCGTGTAAGTGGTCTCGTTTGACGATGCTTGGTTGCTGATGACAAAGAAGGTGGAGGAGGTCCATTGACGTTTTTTCCCGAGAGGCTGCAGCTCGGTTCTTTGGGCATGTTAATGGTGTTTGTAGTGTATAGTGGATAAAAGCGGAGAGAAGGGACCTTTGTCTTGCTTGGTCATTCTATTCTGATCCGAAGGACAAAAGTAAGAGTGAGAAAGTGGGAGAAGTACAAATTCCAATGAACAATAAATTTGAGATTTTAAACGATACCTTCCCACCTGTGTTAGAGGCGTTTCCTTCCAAGGCGGTGCCTTAATAGAATGGGCCAAATGGAAAGGAAAAGTGGCCCCGTGAAGAACTCAGGAGGGCTGAAAACGGAGTTGAACAAAACAAAATGAGAAGTCTCCTTCAGCCATCAAAATCAAGTCTGTATGTTTTTCAGAGTGCAGCCGTTTTTTAAAGATATCTGATTTTGTTGCTCGGCTTTTTCTGAGAATATTGATACGGTAATGTTAGCACTCAGGGGCCCAGATAAAGTCACTAAAAGGATGAAGCTCACGTTAGTGAAGAGTGTGTACAGGAGAAGGCCTCTCGAGTGGAGAATTAGTAGGCCTTATTTGATAATCGGTAGCTCGAATTTGGAATCCCCTGTTTTAATGGATCTCATTTGGGAGTTGAGTTGCGGGGGTTGGTGATACCTCTCAATAGCCTCCACCTCAGTGGATGAGCTATGGGATGGTCTTGACAAACACCTCGGGAACTTGTGGACCTTATTGTTGTATTTATTCTCTTTTCTTTTGGCATTATTATTTTTCAATACGGCTACCTGGGATTGGAATATAGTTCAGAATTAAGAGTTCTATAAGTTTTTAGTTTTCCTTTTCTTTTTTTCTTTTTTTAATATCTTGTGGTAGGTGTTGGAAGATGGTAAACTGACATTGAGACACATACTTAGAAGCCACCAAAGTCAAGTGTCGTTTGTAGCATGGAGCCCCGATGATACGAAGTTGCTCACATGTGGACACGCAGAGGTCCTCAAGCTATGGGACGTGGAAACAGGTACCTGCAAGCACACATTTGAAGATCATGGCTTTATTGTCAGCTCGTGCGCATGGTTTCCAGACTCAAAGAGACTTGTTTGTGGCAGTGCTGACCCTGAGAAGGGTATCCACTTGTGGGACTGTGATGGAAACGAGATCAAGGCCTGGAGAGGCACAAGGATGCCTAAGATATTGGATCTCGCAGTGACACCCGATGGCGAAAATCTTATAAGCATTTTCTTGGATAAAGAAATCCGTATTCTTAATCTTGAGACAAATGCTGAAAGAGTAATATCAGAGGGGCACTCCATCTCATCACTATCAATCTCAGGAGATGGTAAGTTTTTCATTGTCAACCTCAACAACCAGGAGATACACATGTGGGATGTTGCAGGGGAGTGGGAGCGGCCGCGTAAGTACACCGGGCACCAACAGAATAAGTATGTAATTCGATCCTGCTTTGGTGGGGTAAATAGTGCATTTATCGCCAGTGGTAGCGAAAATTCAGAGGTGAGGATCTGTGTGTTAATAAAATCTCGCTTCTAAACTTCCATGTGAATAGAACTATCCAATTAACCTCAGAGTTCTTATTAAGCAGGTCTACATCTGGAGCAGGCAAACTAGTAAGCCAATTGAGGTTTTGTCTGGACATTCAACGACTGTCAACTGCGTCAGCTGGAATCCGAAAAGGCCTAAGATGTTAGCATCAGCGAGTGACGATCAGACAATACGGATATGGGGACCTGCATCAACTAAGAATGTCAAGCCTTGAGAAAGTTGATGAAACAACTGGGTAAAAATCTACATTCACACAGTTAAATATATCCGTACCTTTCTTGGATTGTATTATCAATTTCAATTGATCACATATGATGCTTTCATATATCTGTATATTTCTGTTGTCCTTCAAAATTTTGGCATTTAAGCTTCTTGTAAAATCCATCTCGTGTTCTCTATTAGTGTTGATCCATTTTTTGAGGAAATTAGACAATCATTAGAATTTGTCCGATATTGATGGAAATCTGATACGATTTTGCTGCTGCCACTCCGTTTTTGTGAGCTTCTTTAGAATTTATGCATCAATACCATCACTGAAGTCGAGCGTTCGAGAGACACAAGCAATAGATCAAAATGAAAAGGCAGCAATTTTATTAGGGGTAACGCCAGAATGGATATCAACTATCCAACTTAGGCGTTTGTTATCGTGTTCGTTTCTTGTTTTTCTTTTCATTTATAGCTTTTGAGAAACATGAATATTTTGTAACTATTCGTGTTTTTTGTTTCTCATTTCTAGGAAACATTTCCAAAATTGTATAGAGATTTTGTGATTTTAGAAATAACGAAATAATGTTTCTTATTTTTTACATAGATTATTTTATCATTATTGACTTACAAAAAGCATTTAAAAATAAATATAGCAAGATTTTTTGAAATTTTTATTTAAAAAAACTTAAATTTTAGAAAATGAGAAATAAGAAGTGATTATTAAATATGTTTTTATTTCTTGTTTTTATTATAAATATGTTTTTATTTCTTTTTTAAATAATTAAAAAAGAAGGAAAAATAAGAAACAATTACCAAACTACTTTTGTTTTTATTTTAAAAAAAGAGATGAGAAATAAAAAAAAATAATAAAATACCCAAACCAACTCTAATGTTTGGCCTTTTTACCCTATTGGATGAAATTTTTAGGCTTGATAAATATGTAGTGTTATTCTTTTTTTTTTTCTTTTAAATGGGAGATCGAATCTTTACAGAAACATGAAAATTTAAATGGCCAAGGTCAAATTTCTCTCTCTCTGATTACGAATCTTCATTTATATAAGGATGACATAATGAGTTAACATTTTTTAGCACTTGTCTTTATCTTAACAAATCTATGGAAAATACTTGACTCATTAACGATAAAAAATCTTTTGATCTTTACCTATGAGAAATCAAGTAATTCTCTCTTACAGGTCTTTCTCCTGCGTATAATATTTATCGGAACATTGTAAAATATTCATTAATAACTGTATTCTGTATGGGATTAAAAAGAAAGTGAAAAAAAAAACACACACACACTGTAGTCTGTACAACCTCCAATACTTAACAATCATACCAAGTAAACTTAAAAAATAAAATTAAAAAATAAAATCAAACAGACATATGTGCAAATCACAATCTAACTCACAAATCAAGTAGCCTTGAAAAGAGAA